CCTGCAGAAATTTCAAACTCAAAATCCTTTACCCCTGAAGAATTCCAAGCTCAAAACAATCTACCCCTGAAGAATTCCAAACTCAAAACACCCTACCCCTGAAGAATTCCAAGCTCAAAACACCCTACCCCTGAAGAATTCCAGGTATCCTCGACAGGGGGGGTACGGATATTAAATGGAATAGCCCATTTTGATCTATAAATTCGCAAAGCTCGCAAATATTCAAACGTTCTAGTTAACACAAGTGAATACATGCATTTCAATAGTGCATTGATAAATATCATTACTATATTTACCATGTATTTAGTTAATATTCTACATTTATACAGCAGAGGTATCCCAGGATATCGATAAATAAATTCTCACCTTCTATATTTAAAAATATTTCTCACCGATTTCTTGTTTTTTTGTTAGCATCAATTCCGCTTTACTACATTGTCTTTTCAGTATATTAATTTATGTACCACTGCTTCTATTCAATATATATTAAAACCACAAAATTTTAATCCAACTTGCCGCAAATATAAAAGTCAATTTGATACAAATCTATAAACATTTTACTCGCTCATGAGAACGGCGCCATTTTCGAAAGCCACTGATCTCAATACAGCAAGTGGGGACACTTTGTCCCCACTTTTGGCTCACTTGAAACATTTTATTCTAGGCCTCTCAGGAGCCGTCACCTCATTAATATGCAGAAACGCGCAATAGGCGAACTAAGAGGCCTAGGGACTAGGCTGGACTCTGTTTATACGGAACAAAATAAGACGCGACTTAGGTAAGACGCGAGTTTGTCGTATAAAAGGTACAAAATTATTATGTAAGACGCGTCTTGGATAAGACGCGTCTTACATAAGAACAGGTCTTTTAGCTGTTCTTATTTAAGTCGCGTCTTAAATAAGAAATTTTGGACAAAAAGTCTAACTACACATGCCAGAAACTTGAAACAACGTAAAATTTAATGCCTTACATATTAAAACAAGAACAACCAAAACAACATTATAGCTATAGCAAATAAATAAGACCAAAGCCGTAGAGAACCATTTATGCAATAACTCCACTTATTTAAGTCGCGTCTTATGTAAGTCGCGACTTATTTTGTCACGTATAAATGGCCCTATTGTTTATACGTACCGTTTAAAACAAAATATCATTTTATGACAATTTTATGTTACTTCAAAACATCTTTGGTTACATTCGTGCAAAGAATTACGTTAAAATCAATGTTTTCAAAAAAGGCATACAAAAGTGTAGCTAGGGTTCCTGTGTCTGTAGTATATTTATTTGCTTGTATTTCACGTTTTAATGCCATTATTCCCTAAAAAGGTCGGAGGTTTAATGCATTTTACATTTCATATCCGAAATTAAAAGAAAAATCATTTCTGGATCTTGAAAAAAAATTGCTTTATCAATGCATGTTCTCCAAGAAAGATATGTAAAGAAATGTGCAAAAGACATTTATAGATCAGAATTGTACACGTTAGTAGTTTCATTTTGCTCAAAACACAATATTTTTTCAAAAATAATTACAAGATAGGTTTACTAAAGCAAAATCCGCGCTAAAAACGTCAATAAATATCGGGCTGTTGTGAGTTTGCTGTTACTCGTAATGAGCGTCAAGATGGCGCCATATTGGGGTAAAGGTGGTATATTGTGATTGGTCATATCTTCTTAACGAGTTCGGTGACCCCGACTTTTTTGTGTGATTTTACTTTAAGTATATCATAAACTCCATGCCTGGGAAGTTTCAGCACATTCTCATTTCGGGAACAATTACTGCGGAATTACCTTAATGGTTAAAAGAGACATACGCAAGAAGAGAGCCTGGGAACGAGGTTGAGATATGGGCCGAAAGTAGTTAATGTCCATTGCTTTCTTGTTGGCCAGAGCAAAGTAATTAGAGAGCATATTATTGGGGGACGTGGATATTTAATGATTAAACATTTGTCATAAAAATACTTTAAATGGCAAATATATATGGTATAACAATGTCCATTTTATTTTAATATTAATGTTCAAAATTTACACAATATTTATATAAAATATTTAAAGCGCCTCTTGGACAAGTTTCTTTGGTTTGGACTGTCGTGCCTGCAAAATATTGCATTTCTGTTAGCTACTGATAAGGCCTACAGTAACGCTGAGAAATAACCCAGCCTGTCTGAGCATTTCATATGATTTGTTGTCGTCAAACCTACCTTTTCCACTAAAGCGACAAGTTTCCCTTCTTGTCCAAGCACCTTTAGAATTTCCACAATCAGGGGCAGATAGTTGTGTTTTCTGCGCACATTTTCAACCTTTACAAAAAATGTTATCATAATTATTAGATTACTATTCATCTTTTGTCCGTGTCTATTAACTCAAACCATTGTGAAAGAAGGTGGATGAGGCAGAATGTTTGAGCTAAAAATGGTCAAATTCCCAAGGGTGATCTGGCAAAATAAGCCATAATTGACGTTGCAGAAATTCCATACATTAAATTGTTAAAACTGAGATTCCTGCAATATGAACTTGTCTGATTATAATTGTATCTCAACCATACGAGAGCTTCCAGGGTACCAAACACTACACGTCTCTGGGTACTCAGATGTCCTTCTATAACACTTTATACCGCTAGGGATAGAACTGATAAGGTTGTCCAGTGTACATCATATATACTCATATTGCATACTTTATAGCGAAGCATCTTATCATCTTCAGCAGCAACCAGACCTTGATATTTCACTATATTTGCTTCAATACTTTGAATGCTTGTTGCATTGTCTGTGTCCATTACGTCTGAACCCTAAAATACAAAGGTAGATGGATTTTACTTAACCTGTGTTGCAGAAGGTCTGCCCACCTTATTTATGGGTGTTTCTTGTCACAAGCCCACCTGCAACGGTTTTACAGGAAAGCAAGCGGCTAACATGAAAAAATTGGTACACTATGCAGTCACCTGTTCGACAAGTTGTCTTTTTTGATGATTTAAAGCTTCGATTTCTTTAAGAAAGGCTTGCTTTCTATCTGCCACAACAGCCATAAGGTTGAAATGAATTTCCTCTGAAGAATATCTAAAGGCAAGAGTTGATTCAATCTATCAGACATGAATTGTTTCCAGAACCATTGCCAGTAATGTCTGTCGGTATAGATCATGCATAGCTGGTTTGTGATCCTTTAGATCATCTGTCCTGTCGATGATTTTTCTGTATGTATGAAATATGCTTCACAAAAATGTTAAGCTTTTTGGACTCATGAAATATTATGCCCCTAAAAAAGTTCATACTTTTGAATTCGTCGCTCTATGACTGGTTTAACTTCATTTAGCCAAGAGTCAGCCGAGCAAGGCCCTAGGTCTATGGGGCCTTCACGTAACCCATCCAGTTCATAAAGTCTGTTGTTTATTGGAACATATGCTATAAAGTGAAACACGTCTTCATCCTTCTTTGCTGGGCCATCAATTTCAAATATTTGCTGTCTGGAAAAAATGATATGCCAGCAAATTTAGGTCAGATTGCAAAGCCACAAATTGGATAGTTATGATTGTAATAATAAATTAAAACACAATTTTTACCTTGAAAAACTGTTGTGGACTTGTCTTATAGGGTTACTGTTTGTTAAAGTCAAACCTTTTAGCTACAGAAAAGACACATGATTGAATAAAAATCAGTACAGTTGCAAATTGCTGACCTGAATTCAGAAGCCTGTAACGACATATACAGGGGCATATAGAGTGTATCATAACTGCGTGGGGTGGGGAGTTTGGGTTCAGGCCCTATTTTGCAGACAAAATCTGTGTGATTTTGATGTAGTTGGGGTGTGGTTATTGCTGTGTTATCAAAATTGTTAAGAAATAGGTAATTGATATGAAATAAGCATGTAGATTGTTTTGGATGGGGTGGGGAAGCAACCTCTCAGATTGCTACGCCATTGTACAGACACTTACATTGGCATCAAACGAGGCAGAAAAATCTTTGAATTCTGTAAGAATTGGTCCCAGATCTACATCTTGATGATTTGTATTCAATATAATACTTAGAATGGCTTGAGTTGCACAAGCATTGTTGATCACCTGAAGTATTGTATAAACCATTTCAGTAAACATGTTGCAACCGCTCCTTATAGGATGAACTAAACTAACTTTATTTATACTGGATAGTTCTATCAGTTCTAAACTGTCCTCCTAGAGGTCCAGCAAGGATCATCTCTTATTGTCATCCAGTGTTACTACAGGGGGAAACCTAAACTAACTTTATTTATGATAGTTCTATCAGTTCTAAACTGTTCCCCCTAGGTCCAGTAAGGATCATCTCTTTTTGATCCTGTGTTACTGCAACAGGAAACCTAAACTTATACTGGAGATTTATTAGCTCAAACTGTTCTTCCTAGCAAGGGAAAATCCCTTTATTGAACAAAGCTAATAACGTAAACAAAACTAATAGGTGTTCACTGCAAGATATTATGACCTGTTTGGCAAAGAAAATATTGTCCAAACGACTATCTTGAACAATTGGACCAGATGGTTCATCTCCAGCTTTCCACTTGAACAAAAATATTAAGCCATGAACTGGTCTGAAATCAGAAACAGTGTAAGATAAAGACTATAAACTGTTGTGGTTTGTGTCACAACTGACTGAAAAGATGCCTCACAGGTGTTTGTTGTCAGTGATGTCAATAAACTGGGTATCCGGTGTTGCAATCTCTTAGTAACACCCTAACATTCACCCTAACCCCCGCAACGAACACCTGTGAGTTACAGTTTGACAGATATGGCAGCTATATCTCTAAGTATTTGTCGTTGTGAGCCTAAAACACTTTTCAATGTTTCAAGCAGAGGACCCTTCATCAGGAGCGTATGAACTGAGCATGCTCATCGACTTTGTGCACTATTGCTCCCACATTTTTCAGCCACATTCATGTTACATAAATTCTGATCTGGTGCAACTTTTGGGATGGTGCTTTGGTGTATGTACCTAAATTTTAACTGAATTTGCATAAATTGCATAAATGACTAAATCAGAGTCCAAGACAAATATTTGACAAACCGTAGACTTTCAAAAGAACTTTCATCCAGTGAATACAATTCCTCAACTTGTAAACCAGTACAGCCTAATGTAAAACAGAAACTGTTTTTGACACTTTGAAACACATGTATTAAAAGTACTGCGCAGTCTTACAGTTGGCCAGATTTGGGGGCAAAAGCATGAAAACGTTGTGAAAAATGTGCTGTTTTCTTGTCCTAACACCTACCAAATCCGCGGATTAATTCTGTAAAAACACCAGGGTCGCTTTCTATCAAACACCAGTCCCCGTTGTCCGCCATCTTGAAAGTCAAGATTCTTCGCTATTTTCATTAAGGACTACCCCCCTGAAATACAACGTTTACGACGCTTGAACCGGGCGGTGTGACTGAGAAATGCGAAAGGGGGGCTACACAGAATTTAATTAATACGGGGGGGGGATGGGAAGATTAAAACATTTTATGCCATCCCAGCATGCATAGCAAATCCATGATTCGTTTCCGTTCTCCGCACGTGTGAAAATTAAAAAAAATTGCAAAATGGCGTCGTTTGGAAATGCTATACCTCCTCCTTCAAAGCCTGCAGACGCGAATGCTGCGTTCGCAGATGCCTTAAAAAGAGCAAAAGAGGTAAGTCAAATATCAGGCTAACTTTTTAGAAAGTTTTATCGCGTTGTCGTAAATGTTTTCCTTGTGAAATTTCAACTTTTAGATTGCTGCTCGAATGGGTTCGGCTGCTGCCGCAAGTGGCGAGTCAGGTATGAATGATCAATTTATTTAACAGTGAAGTCAGCAGTCTAGTTGGTTTTAATATTTTAAGATTTTAATATAGTTAATCTTTCTTTCTGCAGCTAAAAGACCACTAGAAGCTTCCTCAGGTAGGTCACAAATTGTCAAATATATTTGTTGACATAAGAAGAGAACAACAGATGTTTGTCGCGGGTCACGTCCATATTTCAAGTTGCCAAGCAAAACATCAAATTGATGTTTTGGGTGGGTAGGTGGGTCCCTGACTGAAAAGTTTGGAAATTCCGCACCTGAGATTTCGAATATTTCATAGCAAATATATAGAAAGCTTCACAATTGGACGCCCAACATGAGTTGATATCTTGGTTGTGCGATACAAACTTTCTGTACTGGGTTGTGGGTCAAAATTGTATTGGGATGTTTTCATGAATTTCACCATGGCAAAATGAATATTTGAAGAAAATCTTGCCCTAAGCTATGCCACTCTTGACATTTTCAAGGCTGGGTGGGTGAGATGTCAATCTGATGTTTTGGGTGGGAAGTTGAGTATGGACGTGGGCCCCCAATATAAAAGGTTGATTACTGTATATTATGGTATAAATAGTGTCAAAAATGTGTTTTTTTAGGTGGAGAACCAGCTTCAAAGAAAGCGCTTATGCAAGGTACAGAATGAATAGATTTGAATTTTGTGGCATATCTATGCTTATCCAAATTCCATAGTATTGTCTTCACGGAGCTCTAACAAAGAGTTTAAAGAAAATTCTGATGGTTTAAACTCAGTATAACTTTGCCTTGACACAAGGAAAAAGCGGTGAAATTCCCTACCTTGTAGTTTCAGCCGTTTCCTTATAGTAAACGGTTTTCTTTTCTTGTGTTTACTCCTATTATTTTGGAAGACATTTCTGTATACTTGCATGTGCGCTTAACGTTTGGTGTTAATTCAAAGTATGGCAGTTTATGGCAGGACTTACAGGGTTCGAATTAGCGGCTTGCTATTCACAATTTGCGAATGCAAAATTCACTTTTTGCGAACGCAAAATCATCCATTTTGCGAATGGCGTTTTGCAAAAACAATGTGTCAAAGGTTGATTTTCACAATCACTTCGATTGTATTTTACTATAATGGAGTATTTTTCTGACTATTATTGTAAGGCGTAAAAAAAATACCTGTGGTTCCAGTTTCATATCGTGAAAAAATTAGGATCGTTAGGTCGGAAATAAATTTTTTTTTGAATATTTTTTTCATGGTTTTGGCATTTTTTTGCTGGGCGATGCAGTAGAGTCCCGACATCAACATTAACTAGAGATGCGTATTTCCCATGGACGAATTTAGGCAATTTGGTTCAATAATGAGAGTGACAACAGATGCCATTTTGGCACGCTGTATGAGCAGCCCGCAACCACCTGGAGAAAATAGGGTCGCACAGTCAATCGCGTTGAAAAAATAATAGGGTCAGCAGAAAAAATAGGGTTGGTAGGGAACCGGAACCACAGGTATTTTTTTATGCCTAATTTTGTACTAAAAGGAAGTGTGAAATGAAGAATATGGCTACAATTTCTTCAGAAAATTTACAAAATTCACTACGAAACGACCGCCATTTTGCTTTTCGCTAGCAGTGTTTCCACTTTCCAAAACTGAAATTTCCGTCAAATTTTCAAGAAGGAAATTTGTGAATCAATTCTTCCTGTCTAATTTGAACCCTGACTTAATTTGGGACTTATTAGTCCGTGTCTGTGCCTTCAATTTCTTATTGTAAAACTAATTTATTAAAAAAAGTACCTGTGTTAACTTAGTGTGTTTTATTTTAGATACTGGTGACATTGTTATTGATGCGAAGGCCATAGCAATGCAAGTTGCAGCAAACATTGCCCAAAGGTTAGTTTGACAGTTTTCTAATACATGGATATAGAATTATGATTTAAGGTTATTGTATTCCATTATAGAGCTGGATTACAGTCACAGCCTGTAGAAGATTTGAAAATTCCCAACAAATATGTTGGATTGAGTGAGTATAGTTTCAGTTTTATTTCATTGAGAACAGTTGTAAAGGTGATGGATAGTTGATTCTCAACTCAGTCCTATTTTGAGATCAGGGTTAATGTTTATTCAGTCCAGTGTTATTTTGAGACCAGTGTCAATGTTTATTCAATCCAGTCCTATTTTGAGATCAGGGTCAATACTTATTCAGTCCAGTCTCATTTTGAGATCAGTGTCAATGTTTATACAATCCAGTCAAATTTTGAAATCAGGGTCAATGTTTATACAATCCAGTCTCATTTTGAGATGAGGGTCAATGTTTATACAATCCAATCTCATTTTGAGATCAGTGTCAATGTTTGGTCAATCCAGCTCATTTTGAGATCAGTGTCAATGTTTATACAATCCAGTCTCATTTTGAGATCAGGGTCAATGTTTATACAATCCAGTCACATTTTGAGATCAGGGTCAATGTTTATACAATCCAGTCTCATTTTGAGATCAGGGTCAATGTTTATACAATCCAGTCTCATTGTGAGATCAGGGTCAATGTTTATACAATCCAGTCTCATTTTGAGATCAGTGTCAATGTTTGGTCAATCCAGTCTTATTTTGAGATCAATGCCCATGTTTATTCAATCCAGTCATATTTTGAGTCAGGGTCAATTTTAGTTAATATTTGCTCAATCCAGTCTCATTTGAGATCAAAGTTAATTAAGTCAAACACCACTAATGTGAGTGAACTATATTTGGAGAACATTGTTTGGTAGACAGGAGAAAAAATATTCAGACAATTGCATGTTGAAGGAATTGAACCCTGATGACAGCTCTAGGTGAAAAGTGCATGAACTAACCACTGGTGGTATTTTCACTACAGTTATTGGAAAGGGTGGTGAACAGATCAATAAACTTCAGTCTGAAACAGGAGCAAGAGTGCAAGTTGCTCCAGGTATGTTTGTGATAATTATTGACCCAGAAGATTGATTATTCCTAGCTTTATATGATGATCAATAGTTAATATTTTATAATGATTATAGATCCCCCACCTGGAGCAATGCCTCCACCTGATCGAGCTGTCACAATATCTGGGAATCCTGAGGCTGTGGAGTAAGTGGAAATTTTGTTCTAAACTAGCATTGTTTGCATCCACAGCTACACATGAAAACATCTAGTCACACATGAAACTTCAGTGTCTCTAACAAGAAGTGGAAGATTTCATTTAGCTTGGCCAACCATTTATCTGTGAAATTTCATCCTGAAATACATTTGAGCACATGCACTGCACTACAAAGTTGTCAAATGTTGGAGTGGACATATTACAATAATTGACTTTTCAATGTTGTATAGAAAAGCTAAAAATTTGATTCTCAAAATTTGTGAAGATGGAAAAGTTCCTGAGTCTTTGGTAGGTTTTTATGCTATAATAGTTTAACAACTTCTCATTAAAAATAATGGAAAGCTTGAAGCAAAGAGATTTTACCATAATTGATTTCATTCTGCATGGAAATTTTCTTGCTAGATGTCTGTACCAACAATCGCTCCTGGGGAATCGTTAATGGAAGTTATGATTCCTGCTTCAAAAGTTGGCTTGATTATAGGTATGTGTGCTACTGGATTAGGAAACAGCTACTTTTGTTTCTAAACATTGTATGTTATAGGTAAATATATATATTGTGGTTTATCTTACAGGAAAAGGTGGTGAAACAATTAAAAATTTACAGGTTAGATTTGTATTTTGATCATTTATAAAATGACAGTGAAAAGCAGGTTTCACCAAGCTTGAATTACAGTTGTGTCTGAACGACTTTAAAACATGTCAGCAGTAAATGACTATCAGTGTTGGCTTAGACGCAAACTGTGGGCACATATAGTATTGTACAATAATACTACCGATACTGAATCCCTCCGTTCGAAATTCTTCATTTTGCACATTTTATACTTATTTTTTACATCAACTAACTCTAGGAACGAGCTCAATGTAAGATGGTTATGGTGCAAGATGGTCCGTGGTTAAGTGCCCCAGAAAAACCACTTAGAATAACCGGTGAACAGTCAAGATGCCAAGTAAGTACCATGGACTGCCACTGGTGTTACCCAAGGATGAACACAGCTAAATGAGCTAAGTTAGTTTAGGGGTAGACCATTAGAAAAATGATGATGGGAGGGATGCATTTTCAGCTTGCCCTCCAACTTGGTCATGCACAAATCCAACACCACCACCCCCCCCCCCCCCCCCCTTCTAGTGGTCCACCCCTTACTAATTTTGTACATTAATTTGCCTGCAGAGAGGGAAAGACTTGGTGATGGACTTACTAACAGAAAAAGAACTCGAACAGATTCAACAGAAAGGCTCAGATTTCATGGGCAAACCAACAAATGAATATGGAACGCCAATCGGAGGACAGTTTAATCCAAACCAACGACAGTTTGGTGCTAAAAATGAGGTATTAAATTATTATATTTGCTTAATACGATTCAGAATTCGTTCTTGTGAGAACGTAGTCTTTAATGATTCCTCAATTCGTAGATTCCAGTTCCAAAAGAAAGCGTGGGATTTATCATCGGCAAAAATGGAGACACAATCAAACGACTCCAGGCTGAAACTGGAGCGAGGATTCAATTCAAACCTGGTAAAATTTTCCACACGTAAATGATTGATTGATTGATAAGTCTTTTTAAAAAAAAATACTACGCAACAACCGTCCGAGGTACCAGGGTGCGATAATTCAATATTTTTGGCCGTACCTGACTGGTACTCCGATAACTTTTGCCGCGTACCTGATCTGGTACAAACTTAAGAGTCAAGACGTACCTAAGACTACTTCCGAGTCATGCGTTTTTATACCTACATATAGTTTTAATACTGGTCCAAAAGCAAAAAATGTATGGCAATTTTGTACAAATGAATCTTTAATTATGGTATTTGTACAACATAATATAACAGTTCTCAAAGCGTCGACGTTGTGACTCGAATGCCATCGCTCATTTACAGTGGATTTACCGAGGGTGCTAACTGTCTGACCTCAGCTACATACAGTGGAGGCAGGTTGGCTAGTTATTGCTAGAAGGAAAATGTAAGTACGCGAATAGTAAATTTCCGCGTACCTACGTGGTATTTGGCTAAAAACAAAGAAGTACCAGACCATAAATTTGGCGTACCTCCGGTACGTTGGTACGCGAATTATCGCACCCTGGGTACCTACGAATTTAACGTCCTTATCCAAGAAGAGGTGAAAGTCTAAGACAAGCGTGGTAAACATGACACCACACTTAATTAGTACAGAGCATTATGGTACATTATGATGGTTAAATTCTGTTATTTAGATGACGTCAACTCGCCAACAAGAATAGCGATGGTACAAGGACCTCCTGAACAAGTTCAAAGAGCAACACAAATGATCAATGAAATAGTTGAACAAGTAATGTTGGCCTTTTGTGTGTGTGTTTTTTATAAGAAATTGGAAAATTTATGTCAGTGTTACCAGCTCAATAAATGCTGGATAACTTTGGGAATTTTCCAAAATTAAATGGAATTGGTCCCGCAGGCTGTTCATGTATTGTAACTGCTTGCCAAAACAGCTCCATACATTTTACATATTACATTGTATTGAAAACTCGAAATTTTACCTCATCCAGCGCGTGTGAGAAGAGTGCTTCCAGTTTGACTCTACCGAATACTGCACATTTTTTCCTGGTACTCCGTTTCCTCCTGTACCAGACGATCCTTACTGGACCTCTAAGAAGAACAGCTTAGAACTGATAGAGCTATCCAGTATAAATAAAGTTAGTTTAGTTTAGGTTTCCTCCTGTAGTAACACTGGGTCAATAAGAGATGATCTCATTAAGAACAGTTTAGAACTGATAGATAGAGCTATCAAGTATAAATAAAGTTAGTTTAGTTTAGGTTTCCTGACTTTCCTCCTGTAGTAACACTGGATCAATAAGAGATGATCCTCATTGGACCTCTGGGAAGAACAGTTTAGAATTGATAGAGCTATCCAGTATAAATAAAGTTAGTTTAGTTTAGGTTTCCTCCTGTAGTAACACTGGATCAATAAGAGATGATCCTTACTGGACCTTTAGGAAGAACAGTTTAGAACTGATAGAGCTATCCAGTATAAATAAAGTTAGTTTAGGTTTCAACAAAATGGCGGTAAACTGACTCGAGGTATTTCTCTCCATATACAGTCGCGACAGAGGTCAAGTGGTTCAAGGGGTGGGCCTCAAATACCCAGTGGTCCTGGAGTTAGAAAGGTTGATTTTCCCGTTCCGGCTGCCAAATGTGGATTGGTCATTGGAAAAGGTGGGGAAACAATTCGTCAGATCAACCAAGCCTCCGGAGCTCATGTCGAACTGAACAGAAGTATCCCAGAAAATGGACCAACACGATTATTCACCATTCGAGGTTTGTGTTGAGTGTTTTGAAAGCAACTGTAAATGTCTGACAGTTTTTATATAAACATTAAATAATAAATATTTTCCCAGGTACTGATCAGCAAATTCAACAAGCACAGAATATGATCCGAGAGAAAACTGGGGATAGTGTAAGTGAACTACATGTTAGGTGGCATTCTCGTACCCAGAGCCCTTCTTACGCGCGGTGCGACGAGGGGCTCTGGCCAAATCCATAACCGGATACCATAAAAACATGGTAAGAAAACAATGTCCGGTGTTAGAACTAGCCAATCAGATGCCAGTTCGGAATATGGATTTGACCAGAGCCCCTCATCGCACCGCGCGTAAGAAGGGCTCTGGGTACGAGAATGGTTAGGTGGTGTTTATACTAGAGGACTGGGTATAAGATTTTGCAATTAAATTTAATATGCCAACAGTGCCATTATTATTCAACTGTATCTTTTAGGGCGGTCCATTTGGTCAACAAAATCATGGACAAAAGTATGTGAAATATCTGAGAACCAGTTAAAGCATGTTGCAGTATTTATTATTGCTAGCAAGGTTCATTAGAAAGCTTAAAATTATCACACCACAGTAAAACAAGAAACGATTCTTTTCTGTAGTGATTATCATCAAGGAGGTTACCAACAAAATCAACAACAACAACAACAGAATCAACAACAAGGTTGGCAAGGCTATCCTTATCAACAACAATATGGCCAGCAACAACAACATCAGAATCCGTATGGACAACCACAAAATAATTATGGACAACAACAACAGGGTGTAAGTTTTAGCAGGGCAACTGCCGATTGAAAGAGATTCCGGTTAGGGATCAGAACTTTTCTGAGTATAGGCTTGATACGCATCTACACCAAATCAGATATATATTTATAGTATCACTTATTTACTGAGACCGAGGGAAACAGTGTGTTTTGTGGACCCGAGACCGCCGGTCGAGGGGCCACAAAACACACTGCTTTCCCGAGGTCTCAGTAAATAAGTGTTTTGTTATATGGTATATAAGTGTCAAAGTAAATTTGAAACCAAAACTAGATAATTGGAACGCCGTAAATGTTTAATAAAAAGTTTAAAAAATGAACTTCATGGTTGATGTGCATGCGCATTGCACCCATTCTGTTGTTGACCGGTCAATAAATGTTTCCTCCTCGGCAAAGCATGCAGTGAACATGACGTTTTGTGGACCGGCACGTGATACGGTTTTGACCAACTCTGATACTAACTATATAACAAATATATAGAGAGCTCACCGCGTATCGTTTATTGTTGCAGGGCCCTCCAGGTGAACAAGGAGGTCAAAACCCAGCCACATCAGGAGCACCCACGTCTGGGGCTGGGCCAACTGCGGGCGCTCAAGGCCAGCCAGACTACAGCGCAGCCTGGGCGATGTATTATCAACAATTGTATCAACAACAAGCTGCAGCCGCTGGACAACCTGCTGCTGGAAACGCGGCTCAAGGTGAGGAAGACAACAACAACAACAACAAGAAGAGTAATTCAAACAACAATATGTACAAGAATAACAACGTTGGTATACTGCAAATAACGTGAACAACAACAATTATAACTACACTACGACCACGCTCAGTCAACAACAACACCACCGAACAACAACAACTACTACTACTACTACAACAACAACAACAACTACAACAACAACAACAACAACACCAACTACTACTACTACTGCAACAAGAACTACTACTCCTGCAACAAGAACTACTACTCCTGCAACAAGAACTACTACTCCTGCAACAAGAACTACTACTCCTGCAACAAGAACTACTACTCCTGCAACAAGAACTACTACTCCTGCAACAAGAACTACTACTCCTGCAACAAGAACTACTACTCCTGCAACAAGAACTACTACTCCTGCAACAAGAACTACTACTCCTGCAACAAGAACTACTACTACTGCAACAAGAACTACTACTCCTGCAACAAGAACTACTACTCCTGCAACAAGAACTACTACTCCTGCAACAAGAACTACTACTCCTGCAACAAGAACTACTACTACTGCAACAAGAACTACTACTACTGCAACAAGAACTACTACTACTGCAACAAGAACTACTACTACTGCAACAAGAACTACTACTACTGCAACAAGAACAAGAATAACAACAACTACTACTGCAACAAGAACAAGAATAACAACTACTACTACTACTGCAACAAGAACAAGAATAACAACTACTACTACTACTGCAACAAGAACAAGAACAACAACTACTACTACTACTGCAACAAGAACAAGAACAACAACTACTACTACTACTGCAACAAGAACAAGAACTACTACTACTACTGCAACAAGAACAAGAACTACTACTGCAACAAGAACAAGAACTACAACAACAACAACAACTACTGCTACTACTGCAGCAGCAACAACTACTATTACAGCAGCAACAACTACTATTACAGCAGCAACAACTACTATTACAGCAGCAACAACTACTATTACAGCAGCAACAACTACTATTACAGCAGCAACAACTACTATTACAGCAGCAACAACCACTATTACAGCAGCAACAACAACAACAACTACAATGACAAGAACTACAACAGCAGCAACAACTACTATTACAGCAGCAACAACTACTATTACAGCAGCAACAACCACTATTACAGCAGCAACAACAACTACAATGACAAGAACTACAACAGCAGCAACAACAACAACAACAAAAGCTCACTCCAAACTCGTTTCGCGAAATATATATACGCTTAATAGCATTAAGCATCGCTATTATTTGACATGAGGTTGTTGATTTTTAATCCCTCCTCTTCCTCCAGGTGGACAACCTGACTACACAGCTCAGTGGATGGAATATTACCGCCAACAAGGTTACTGCTACCCGTACGGCCAGCCTGGTCAACCACAGCCAGGACAACAACCCGGGCAACAGCCGCAACCTGGCCAACAACCTGGTCCCCCTCAAGGTCAACCTCAGCAGCGATGATGTCATAGGTAAGTAACTATTACGTCATTGTTTATTACTAGTTTTTTGGCAATTGCGTGCAAGTTAAACACAGAAATTTGGAGGTTTTAAAGAGGTTTAATTCTGAGAGGTGAATGCTGATTGGTGATGCTCAAAGGTATTGAGATATTGGGAGTTGAACTGGTGTTCTTGCATGTAAGTTAGCAATGCCAGTTGCTTTGGAAGCCACACTGTACTTTTAGCGAGGCAAATGACAACTTTCTATACTGTACGTCACAAGTTGCTTTCGTCTTCGTAAATAACGGCACAAACATGAAGTCAACGATTTAATGTACGTCTAGTTCTAAACAACAAGTCCAAATTTTAGTATAGTACACCGAGAGAAGACAACATATGATAACGGTTTTATTTTGTGACTATTGATTTCGTAGATTTATATGTGTTGGTAAATTATGTATTATTCAATGTTCACCTGGGATTTTTCACTCATTTCTGCTCCTTGTTTATATATCTCTCATCTTCATTATATTCTTCACTCAATCTACGCATATATTTATATCTTAATCTATGAAAACAGTCTATATCTTCAATATTACTTGTTAGCATTTTCCATATTTCAGTATTTGCTGCGTGTACATTATATATCGTAATTTCTTTTAACGTTGTTTATCCATATTTATTATCATTCTGATGGTGACTTGTGTTATCTTATATATCTATGCATTTTATTTATTATTTTATATATTCATTCTATATAATTCATGTAATATAATTCATGTAATATTCATGTTATATAATTAATTCTATATAATGCGTTATATTCAGTCAGTTCACATATGTGTTTGTCTTCAATAATACTTGTTTATTTTTTCAGTATTAACTGCATAAATTGTACATTATTATGACTTATGACAATGTTTTGTCCATATTTGTTATAAATTTGCTTTTACTATTGTTTTCATGTTTCCATGTTTGAGGTGTTAGAATTTTGATAAATGTTGACAAAAATTTACATATCGTTTGTTCCACGTTGTTTTCTGATAACATTGATTACAGGATTTAGGTTCATTTATGACTGAGAGATTCGTAAGTACCAGCTGTTAGTATAGCACTGCGTGTTGAACTTGCTTTTTCTACTTGTATATTTGGTCTTAAACAGTTTTACTATACCATCTTCTAATGAATTCATGTTATAATTATGATTTTATGAATCTATTAATAAGTGTACAAGAATATATTTGAATTGTGCATGCATGTATGTTGTGTTTTGCCATACCAGATTTACAGGTACTGAAAATCACCATACATCAATCATCTGTAAGTTTCAAATTTGTTTCAATGGTTTAATTTGCTAAGTAGCTTTTTTGCATGAGTTATTTCACATTGATGATTCACCAAATAATATACGTTTTATTTTAATATTGAAATCTGTGTGTATAAATATTGTGTATAATACCATTGATTTGCAGGACTTTTTCAGGGGGTTTTACGTTATCGATACTTGTATTTATGATACTGTGTTCGTCTACATAATTTTCAGCAGTCGTATATTTATTTTATTACTGTGTATATTTGAATTGCATATGCATGCATGTATGTTGTTTTTGCAATAACAATGATTTACAGGTCCTGAAACAATCATGCTTCTACCAGCTGTAAGTTTCAAGTTTGTTTCAATGTTATTACTCACCATGTACTAGTAATTTATGTAATTACCACTGTTTTTTTAAACATGTTGTTCCACGTTATATATGTTTGGTATATGATATTATGATAAATGTTTGAGTCATTTCTTTATGTAAATATTTATGCTTTCCATATTTCTTAATATATACTGTTGTTATAAACTTCCTCGCTTTTGTTGAATTTCTGTGTAATCATTTTCGTCACCATGCTACTAACAGTGCCTACATGCTAATGTTAAGGCTGATAGGTGCACTTGACAAAAAATGGGTTGAGCGGCGGTCTAGCTAGAAAGATTGGTCGCTCCATTGCTGTCATATATGGTTCATTGTGGCAGGGTTTGACCACTGGGCTTGACACGAAGTCGGCAAGGTTAGACAAAAGTGTGTCTGAACCGTTAACCTTTGTTTTTTTCTCGTTGTGAAGTTATTTCATATTTATGCAGTTTTTATTTGTTCACATGTAGTTGTATTTCAAATGTGGGGTCTGGTGTGGGTGGAATACTACTATGGCTGGTGTCTGAACTACCCGAAAATGATTAAAAACACCAACACTAACCATTGATTGAATTTATTAATTTAGCCATGGATAATATTTTATGATCCATCCTGAAAATATATACAGACTTTCCTCTAAAATATGTCTTTTTTCTTTCTTTCTAGCATTTGAGGAGTTGTGCCAAACCTATGCTAGTACAAACTTCATGTAAAATAAAAATAACCAGTATTAGATTACACCATATAGTATAGTCTATAGACGTTGGTGCAAATACAATTGTAATTGTTTCTCTATATGGTGCCATTGAACTATAGTTGCATGATAGTGAGAGTATTTTTAATAGACTGTGTATTTTAGGTTTAAGATATTAAATCTTTTCTTATTTACCGTGTATATATCGTGTTTTTGTGTTATTGATTCGCAGCTTGGCCTGCCGGGAGGAAACCGGAGCACCCGGAGAAAACCCACGGCTTTCGACAGAGCGTTACTGACTCTTTTCACATGAGTCTGTTACACAGTGGCGGAAATTCACTTTTTCCGGTGGGCGGGGGGGGGCAAAGCCTTCTAAATTTCCGACAAAACTTTCAAATTTCCGACATACCCCCCCCCCCATTTGCACTCGTAAAGACTGTTTTTAGCCCTCTTTTAGGTCAAAATTTCCGAAAATTCGTCAATTTTCCGTGAAGGTGGAGGGAGGGGGCGGCCGCCCCCGCCCCACCAAGATTTCCGCCACTGAGTCTGTAGCGAGAATCAGAGGTGAAGGCGCTTGTCCCTTCCTTGGAATTTCCTAGGAATTTCTATAATTTCATTGCCAGATGCCCCTGGAAAATGACAAATGTCTATAACCACCCCTCCCCCATGGATTTTCAAGGTCAACCCTTCAAGCGGGCCTAGTTACTTTCCGGAAATTATGTAACAATATTAACCACCTATCGAATTTCAATTTTGCCCTGCCATATAAAGTCATAGTTAATTATATTAACTATGCATAAGTGGAATTCATATAATTAATCATTTGATTATTTGTGTGTTTTTAAGAACTATGAATTATTTTGGAAACGTAAGCTTTACTTTAGGCGTTCGTAGATTATTTTACGCGGTAACACCGAACGAAACTTCGTTTGAAAAGTTGGAAGATGTGCCCGATTACTTGAACGAGGTTTGGAAGCTTTAATCCTGTTTAATTAAATTTGCTGTTGGGCTGTTTTCTGCGCTATTTGTAGCTAGAGCGTGTTTTGCTTGAGTATTTAGCTTAGCATAATTGCTAGGGTTAGATTGTTAGTATGTATTGGACAAAATTTTGGGTATTTTGTGGAGATTTTCCTGGTGGTACTATATGTAATTTTTGTCTGGACAATTGATTTACAATAAATATTGTGCAATAACTATTATGTGACAACATAATCTGCATATATGTCCCTGACTTAACACCTAAAATTTAATAGTAACCATATAGAAAGCATCAAATATCTTGGTTGCATGATATTATATAGCCTGTATGGCGGCTAGATATTATATCGAACGTTTGGTTGTTATGTTCAATTATTGCATTATGATGTGTGATGCAAATTGAGCTCATTATATTAACGTCAATGTCTATAATTTTCCCTCATTAGCATGTAGGAAGAATGTTACCAGATTGATGCTAGTACTAGGCTTGATTATCAGCTGTCCTGAATGCCGCCTGGTAATCGAGCCTACGTACTCTAGTACCAAACATCACAAACTTTCTTCAGGTACTCCAGTACTAAATATGTGCAATACTAGATGTCCCTTACTGGACCTCTAGGGAGAACAGTTTAGAAGTGATAGAGCCATTTGGTATAAATAAAGTTAGTTTCCTTGTGTAGTAACACTGGACCAATACTACCCTTGCTTTCTCTGTATGCAGGCCATTCCATTTTTCAATGGCGCGATATTGCTAGAGTTTCTCATTTGCTGGTTAAAAGGTGTTAAGACGTTCCGAATTAATGATGGCTTGAGTTCTCTTACTGCTGGGATATTTCTACAACTATCCAAGTGAGTGAAGTGTTATTTATAAACACAGACAGACCAGAGATTTTGTCATGGGTGGTGTATTGCATTTCTATTATACCATTTAGGTTTTTGATTATATCTCTTGAACTGATGACAAATTCCTGGATCTACACAAACTACAGATTGGTTGACTTACCCTGGAACTCACCATGGACTTGGTTTATTGCATTTTTAACCATCGATTTTCTATATTACTGGTTTCATAGAGCAGCTCACGGTAGTTTTTACAATTTCAACGTGTGATAATCTTCTTTCCAGATATAGATATTCTTTGTACATTATAATTATAGCCTTGTCATACAATTATGCCAGTTAAGTCATCCATTATGACAGGATTAAATCGGTGAGATTTTTAAAACAATAAAAAGACGGAATATTCTGATCATTGGATTGTGACGTCACTAGATGACATTATGCTATTAATAGGCAAGTGTCATGCAATTAAAACCCATTCTAAGGTGGTGATATTGATATAAAATTTAGTGGTTTTGTGGAAAGCACATCCACTATTCATTTTACAGAGCACTCTTCCTAATGAGTCCACACTTACATTTCAGAGATCAACTTTATATGGGCAACCCATCAAGTTCACCACAGCGCTGAAGACTACAACCTTACAACAGCATTGAGACAATCAGTTGTACAACGACACTTCAGCATGGTAATGATTCTGGTTGATTATAGCTTACCACCCTCCTACCTAACTCAGACCAACTGACTCAATCACTGAATAACTGACACTCAGACATGAGATCCATTGACTGACTGAAACCATTTTCCTTCCTTTCAGCTTGTGTACCTTCCCTCAGCATTGTTCATTCCACCTTCAGCGTATTTTGTTCATGTCCAGTTCAACTTGCTGTATCAGTTCTGGATTCATACAGAGGTATAAGGAATTCATGCATGATTTGTTGTCTTCAATACTGAAATATAAAATAATGTAATTTGTCCATGTATCCTTGTTATATATAGTTAGTGAAATCACTTGGTCCACTGGAATACATTCTGAATGCTCCCAGCCATCACAGAGTTCACCATGGTAGGTTATGACAACATCTTAAACCACAGCCTTAAATATGTTTATATATTGAATTGTGTTTTATAAAACAATCGGTTTTCAACATTTTATTTTAGGACGAAACCCGTACTGCATTGATAAGAATTACGGTTAGTATAATAAAAGCTACCATGCATGGTTTGAACTGCCATGAGGACGTTTTAAGTAAAGTTTTAATAAATGAAAATTTAAATATGTGAGAAAGATTATTGCTGTAAATGTGTTCGGCTTAAATAACTACTGGACAAAGGGCCTTCGCCAATAATTTCATCATAATTGCCTTGACTGAATTGAAGCCAAACTTATGAAAAATCATTATTAATAATAATCATTTTAGGTGGAACGCTGATCATATTTGACCGTATGTTTGGTGAGCAATCTTACATTGTGTGATATTGTTTTCTTCTTGTTTCTGTGTACATCTGAAAAGCATGGGTTGCTTGACCAATAAGCATGCAAAGAGTCCTAAATTATATTTACAAAATGTTATGACAGGAACTTTTCAAGATGAAACTGACGAAAAAGTGGTGTATGGTTTGACTCATCCAATCAATTCTTGGAATCCTATTTGGGTACAGGTGAGAGAGGAATTAAAAGTTACCATATTATTCTATACCATAACATCATAGAACATGCTATACCATTATGTCACTGCTTACTACACCAGACTTTATCATAGCAAGTACCATCCCATCCCATAAAAACCAAACCATACCTTATCACACCATACCATACTTCACCATACCATACATGTACTCCACTGTACCACACCACCTGACACCATACCATACTTCACCATGCCACACCATAATTCACCATATCATACCATACCACAACATACCATACCACACCATACTCTACCACACCATACCACACCATGCAAAACAACACCAGACCATATACCTATCATAGATTACTATACATGCAACTGTATATTTAGATATGTCATTTTGTTCACATTGCAAAAACATTTTGGACAACAGAAGGATTTAAAAACAAGGTATAATGTTGACCTCGTTTATCATCTGGCCTCTAGTTATTTCATACTTCTGCTTTGCTTTACGTTTTATGTCTCCCTAGATTTATGTGTTGATAAAAGGTCCTGGATGGTCTCCTGGCAAACCTCGACTTGGTGATCCTGCTGATATTCCTCAGGTTGACTAATGTTTGTCGAACTTCTTCTGGATTTGCCTTTTTCAAATGTTCCTCAAAAGTGTGTAAAAACAATGGAACATTTGACCGTACATTGTGCCAAATTTTGCCAATGAACAACACTTCATAATCTCAAACGATAGATAAGGAAGTATGGTATAATGATTTCTTAAGATTCTCCCATAACTTATGTGTGAACAGTGCTGGGAAATGTTTAACAAAATATCTTCGCTTCTTCTTACACCTGATTATGTCATATTTAACTTTGACTGCATGTCGATATTTTCTGCAGAGGTCATCTGTACATGATGTATATAGCACAAAGTAATTTCTATTTCAGGTTGAATACCCAGTTGAGAAGTATGACAAAGGTTTGCCACTTTGGGGCAATATTTATGTTATTACACACACTATTCTCACCTCGATAGTTTTTCAAGAATTGTTCGTGAAGCGTTTGGTACTGTACCTTATACAAATGTTTATTTATTAGTTGAATTTACTGAACATTTTGGATTACTTTCCTCTTTTTGAAGTTTAGTTCAGTGTTTTATTCATGATTGTCGTGCTGACGAAGTTTATCTTTTGTATTAATTGTCGCATACAGCTAATTCAATTACGTTTGTCCTGTTAAAGTCAAATTTCAAAACTGCAAAATCTTGAGCTCTAAGCGCAAAAAGTAAATGTAGAACGAGGTCATGCAGGTATATGAGTATTGCATTAATTGAGCTGTTTATTATTAATGAACGAATTTTCTTTAATTCTAGACCCTTACAGAAGGAAACGTTTTGGGTGTGGTACTTTTCCTCTTTGCGTCTGGGACATGTTTTGGCTTGCTCATGGATAACAAGTAAGTCGGTGTCTTGAACGATATAACAAGTAAGTCGGTGTAGTCAATGTCTTGAACAGTCTGTGCCAGTGTAGGGAGTGGCAATAATAAGAAAGCTTGGGATTGGTAGGAATGCAACTACCTGAAAAATTACAAGGAGAACTTGACGTAAGGACAGGGACGTCGCTATAGGGGTGTGTGTGTGGGGGTGTGACACCCCCCCCCCCAATAATTCAAACGTTGGTCAAAGTTGGTCAAAATGGAACTGATATTTGCTTAAAATTGAAGGTAAAACTCGGAAAAATTTGGTCAAAGTTTGGGATAAAAGATGGTCGAAGTCGGTCAAAGTTATGAAATGGTTGGCAATTTTAACAATTTTAAAGCTTTTGTTATGTTTGCGGTGAAAAATTGGAAGCCTTGCTTATCTTGGTCGAGAAATTTTGAATATGCTTATGTTAGTCCGGAAAATTTTTTTTGACTATGCTTATGTTAGTCATTTTTTGACCTCCCCCCGTCCACAACATTTTCAGGAAAAATTTGTACGACTTCGTCAAAATCCTAGGAAATGTTGGTCAAAACCCCCCGACCCCCCAATGTTGATGGCTTCACGACGTCCCTGCGTAAGGATAGTTACATTCTATCAATCCTAAACATTCTTTGTCAGTGTCTTAACGATTCAGGTTATTTAACTTGTTTACCCGTTCTCTTTTCAGATGGTACGCACCACATTTGGAATTGATTCGGTGTGTTGTGTTTCTGGTGGTTGATTACCAACTAAGCTTGCATCAGAAACATATTGAAGGTATGTATCGCTTTCTTAAACGCTGGTATACACTATCAAAGTTTCTGTGATCACAGTAGGAATTTTTCAGTAAAGTAAATTCTAGATTTTGAAGGATTTGAAAGAAATGTTTGAGGGAACTGATTCGGTGTGTCCTTAAATATTTCTTACAAATTCTTCAAAACTTAGAACTTATCTATGCAAAATTCTTACTGTGATCACAGAAACTTTGATAGTATAAACGAGGCTTAACACTATAAAACATCACTTGTAACTTGGGATTGACCCAGTTTATGCTTTAATCCATCACAGGGATGCTATATGTCTCTAGCAGACCATGTCTCTAGTAGACCATGTCTCCAGTAGACCATGTCTCTAGCAAACCATGTCACTATTAAATATATTTTCTTTTGGCTTTGCTTTAGTCGTTCCCTTGCCTCTGCTGGGAGTAACTCGTATGATTTTTGCCATCTCAGCAATTATTTGGTTTTTGTTGTGTTTGCGTTCTGAGAAGATCCTGGAAAAAGAAGAATGATTCGTGTAGGAATTTTTGTGGGCTTGTAAGAGCAGACATTTCCGAGAATTACGTTTGATGCCGGGTCTTCATTATTATCCAAATTGTGATATTTTTCGAAATCAGTAATCTAAATTTTTTATTCAAGTAGAATATAGAGCTGATTACTACCTTATTAAATGTAATTAAAATATATTAATAATTCATAAACCTTGTGGCAAATCATGTCAGCCATAGTATGTCACGTGGAGTGACTTTATATCTGATAAAGCATGAGGCATTATATAATTGTTTATCCTAATTAGTATGATTATATAATGGTTCATCCTAATTAGCATTCTTTTGTAGTCGTATTTTAAGCTATTCAAAACACTCGTTGTCGTGTTTTATCAGACATAAAACGCTCGGCTGCGCCTCGCGTTTTATATCTGATAAAACACTCCTACTCGTGTTTTAAATGGTAGTATAGTACTTAGACGATTAGACCTTGGAACATTTTTTGATATTTCAGGTCGCTATGTATAACGCGAAATATTTTTTATGATTTCCTAATATACAAGGTGTCCCAAAAACCCCCGAAAACTATTGAAATAACGTATTGTTAGAATTTGAATGCCTCGGTACTCTGCTGAACCTACACGTGCATCAAAGCTTGACATAAGTAAATTTTATCGATAAAGATTAAAGAAACCGTTTAAGAAGCTGTTTTAAATTCCCAAGAGCAGAAAATCGTGCGCTTTTATACAAAGATGTTTTAATTTCTTAATAAGTCAATATTTAATATATGCACCCTTGTCAATATTTTACGCATCTTTGCGTTCAGCTTAGTGCTAGGGCATTCAAATTTTAACAATACGTTATTTCAATGGTTTTGCGTTTTTTTGGGACACCCTGTCTATACTTGTGATTTTAAATATTAATAATCTTGTGATACCTACTAGAAGTGTATAAATCAAAATAAATTTATATTAAAAAATAATTCCAACTAATACGCGTCATTTGTACTACATTTGGATACGAACTGACTTATTTCATTATGCGCGCAGACCCTTATACTTTTTTAACGTAATCTGCTCTGCTCACAGGGTAATCCTGGGGTAAAATCATAGGGGTAAAATGTCGCGTGTTTATCGCGTGGATTGGTGCGTGTGCCGAATATTTTTCCTTTTCAATATGGCGGCTGGCTTGACAATTTCACTTGAATTCAGGTACATGTTTATTTGATACTTTCTCGCAAAAACAACGAGACATTTAAATAATTTCTTTAAAATTTTGAATAGTGGTGGTGCTGAACTGTTGTTTGGAAAAGTGAAGAAACATAATGTTGTATTACAAGAAACGGACAAGCCTTGTAAGATTAATGTGAAGTTTTGTGCTTTGTATAAACTGTTGCTATTATAAAATTTAGTAGAAGTTTAGTTACTTACATTGAACTGATCTTTCTTTAGGGACAATTAGGAAATTTTTATTCTGGATAAAAGATAATTTACTCCAAGAACGACCAGAGCTGTTTATACAAGGCGAATCTGTGTGAGTCAGTGAGGGCATGTTTCTTAAAAAAATATTTGATTTAATGATTCATTTACATGAAAAAAATAATGTTATTTTTTCAGTCGTCCTGGCATATTGGTGCTTATCAATGACTCTGACTGGGAATTAATGGTACTGCAGAGTTTCATAGTTGAATGTGAAGGTTTTTGAATTTTGTATGAATCTGAGAATGCTATTCTGTTGACAATTTGGTTATTTTTCCAGGGAGAAACAGAATATATTCTTGAAGAAAATGATAAAGTTGTGTTTATTTCAACTCTTCATGGCGGATAGTTCCTGCAAAGAATTGAAAAGCCTGTGTCTTGTTGTTGAAATGGTGGAAATCATGGAATATTTCTGCTATGCAGGCGAAATGTAATGAGATTTAGAAGCTGCAAAACCAAAGCCAAATTGCCACATAGACATCCGTGAAAATTTGGATGCAGGTCCACCATTGAAGCAGATAGTCATATAAAGAGGCTGGCAGTCAAGTTCCTTCAGCGGATATGCAGTTTGTTTACATTTTGAAAACACTATGTTCATAAAATATAATGCACTTAGTTAATATCTAACAGTGAATATAGATAATAGATTAGAGTTTCAATTCAGAAAATGTGCAGAACAAACTTGACCTCATCTTTAAGAGACATAGAAATAATAGATATCTATTATCATAGCTATTATTTCTATGGTCTAGCCACAGATGAGGTAAATACAGATGTGAATCTCACGGCAAATTATGTCACACCGATTAAATAAACTTTAAAATTGTATTAATTCACTATTTTATTAAATTTTGATAATGCAGAGAAATAAAACTATACATATTATAGAAGTATTCATGTTCTTTTTATGCCAGAGTTATGTTTTGAGGAATTTATATCATTCGCTGTTTTGTTATTATACATGAGCATCTGAAATTCCCAGCAAGTGTATTTCACGATTTTAATAAGGAATAGATAGGGAAAAAAACAAACTTTGGCTAAATAAAATGTTATGTTAACACTTTTAATAAAAAGAAATCAATAAAAGTGATCGCTTACCGATACTCTTGAAGAATTAATTCCAAAAATAGCCGTCGGTAGCGTAGATTTTTAAAAAAAACAATTTTTCGTCTTTCGAACGGCGTTTTCCTATCTCTTTCCTTATTAAATTTCAGAACGACACTTGCCAGCGCTCGCCGGAAGTGAGAATTCCGTGTGACACAAAACAATCAGCAATTTGACGGAAGATTCACATCTGTACCTACCTCATCTGTGGTTTAGCTTCGTAAACTAGATTGCGCAGTCCAGTATATGACGAGATCAGTCATCTGAATGTAAATTTATTATAAATAATTCAAATTATATGTTAATTTATATTTGATTATGAGCCTACAGTACACTCAAAAGTCTTGGTCAGCGTTTGCGCACATTACCCAATATCCCGCGCGCGCGTAGCTCGATCTTTTCTCTTTGAAACAAACATCGAAAATATGGTGAGAATATTGTATTTAGAATCCCTTGTAATCTTCCAGTTTTTCTTCTTTATATGAGAGTTTCGCCATAGTTCACGAAGCTTTTGTAAATATCTAATACTTTTGCAATCATTTGACGCTATTTCCAAAGAAATATACGCAGGGGGATTAGGTTTCTAGGCCTCCAAAATATAAGTGCACGATGAACTACAGTGTAATAAATTTATTTTTTTTACGAAAATATGTATTGTATCATTGCCAGGCAGTCGTGTACTGCTATATTTCAATGAGCCTTCAGCTGGGTTAACCCACTAGTTGTCTTGAAAATTAAAATTTGGCAATATATAAACTATAAAATGCACAAGCAGTATAGTATAAATGGCTTAGCTAGTTAGTCGGTGTACTTCTAGTTAAACGTGTTTGCTGGTTAAACCCTCATATGACAATCATGAGAGCCTCGCGTGCCCTTACATACCAAGGGCCATTCCATTTAGGGGGCCATGTCCATTTTCAATTTGCCATACAAAACATCAAATTGTTTTTATCGAAACCCAACCAGTCTGCCATATGCAAGATTTTTTTATGGGCATGACCCCTTGATATATGCCTCCTATTGAGAGGTTTTGTGACAATCATCTTAGGATGACGAAAAGTTTATCTATTATATTTCTACATCTTCTGAAAAGTTTTTGATCACGCATAATGTGAACACATTTCATTGTGCTAAATAATGACATGCATATTTCTTCACAAATTTGTCAAGACGAAGTTAAAGGCTCACGAATTACGAGGCAAGAAGAAGGAAGAGCTTGTTAAGCAGCTTGACGAATTACGAAATGAGTTATCGTCGTTAAGAGTAGCTAAAGTAACTGGTGGAGCTGCCTCAAAGCTGGCGAAAATGTGAGTCTATGCAATTGAGTGTACTCCAGTGTAGGTAGTATTCTACAATAAGCTGTCGTGGCTTGTGTCTAAACTACCTGAAAAAGATAGATCAAACGTGGTAGTCCAGTGTAGGTAGTATTCTACAATAAGCTGTCGTGGCTTGTGTCTAAACTACCTGAAAATATATCTCTCAAATGTGGGGGTTTCAGCGAAGGTAGATAATATTTTTCATGGGCAAAGAAAGTGTTGGATGTAAATTTGGTGAACTTAATTCCATATATTTTTTTTTCACTTCAGAAAGCTTGTGAGAAAGTCTATTGCAAGAGTCTTGACGGTTATCTCTCAAACCCAGAGAGAAAACCTGAGAAAGTTCTACAAGACCAAGAAATACAAGCCATTGGATTTACGACCAAAGAAGACGCGAGCCATGAGGAAAGCCTTGAGCAAGAGGGAGGCTTCGTTGGTCACCTTGAAACAGCGCAAGAAGTTGACACATTTTGCTCTAAGAAAATATGCTGTAAAGGAATAAAATGGGACCATTGAACACATTTTGTGTCTTTGTATTGATTTTCAGACACTAGAGACACCCTACCCCCTGGAGACAACTTTACCGCACATTTATATGAGAAACTTTTATAGCCCAGGCACTGTTTCCACTCTTATCCTCAAACATGCAGTTATTTGTTTGAAGGCCTGGGAATGAAAAGTTAACCATGGAGGCAGAGACAAACTGTTTACATGGACAAAAGTTGTTCCTTTCTACAAGGGTAACCCTGTTTCGTAAACCTGTTGGGTGTTCCTACCACCAGGGTGATCCTACAAGATGAGTTGAAGACTTTCATATAAACCCTCCCAGGGGGGGTAGGGTGTCCCTAGTACCCAAGATCATATAAACAGCACCTAAGCCAGACAATAATCCACCCTTCTGGAAAGTACGTCATTTTGGCTATAGAGCCTCGTTTTCGTGTGTGTAACATTTATTAAAGCTCCATGCAAACGAGGCTCTAAAAAATTTGGACCGCCCGCTATATTTCGACTAACATGAAGTTTCCTATAAACACGTGGAACTGGTTGATTCAAGTTAAAAATTTCAAAACTAAAATGGTGTGTAATCAAAGTTTTATTTATTTTTCTACGTTTGTGAGCTTTTCATGAACACATTTTGGTTGTGTTAAGGGTAAATATAATCATGAGGCCAAAGAAAAGTAAAAAGAAGTTTTTTGCTCGTGTGAAAACGGAGATAAAAAGTGAAATTTGTACATGTGATTTAAACGAAGCATCGAGTTTACCGTTTGCAGTCGAAGACGAGGTTTTAGCATGTTGGCAAGACGGTCTTTATTATTTAGCTGTTGTTAAAACGGTGAGATATAGTAGAGTATGTGTCGGTTTTTAATTTGTAAATTTGTGGGCTAATATTTGTTTAATATTTGTTTACAAATTACACAAAACACACGTGGCCCTACTGATTTGCCATTAATTTGCGTATATCCGCGTATCCAGAAGGTCGACTTTGTTTTGCCTGTGATTTTTGGGGTAATCATCAGTGTGACCAGGTTTTTTCAGGGGAAATTACCACATCCGGTTTCATTAATTACTACAATCGGTCTAAAATTACCACGGTGACCATATTTCCCTCCCATTTTTTCAAAAAAAATGTCCATATTTTTTCCCAAGGGTTTTTTCACCAAAATCTCTACAATTAAGGTCTGGAAATTTCAAATTACCACAATCGGCCAAAATTGACGAACAATTACCACGGTAGTTCTGAAATTACCGTAGTAATTACCACAAATTTCCAATTACCACATTCCTCCAAAAATGACGAAAAATTACCACGGTAGTAATGAAATTACCACATCTGGTCACACTGGTAATCGTTGCAAGCAGCATGAGAGGCATCTACCCCCACTGAAAATATTCAAAATGGTGGATGTTCAGGACGTGCATGCCTCATAAGCACATTAGCTATGAATATGGCAACAACGTTTCGATGACGAATCATGGCATGGCAGTTACTCTTTTTTGGCAGAGTTGACCTTCTGTATCTAATCTGTGCCTAGGTGTTGCATTTAACCTGAGACATGGGTCGATAGTCTGGTTAATAACCCATTAAGGAGGCCTTGTTGGGGTAAATTCTGACAGGCGACATTGCTTTGAAATTGCAACATATAGAAAATAACCTAGCATCATGTTATTACTCAAACTACTGTATATCACCACCCCCCTGCACCAACTCTGGCCTGGGCTAGGGGGGGGGTGCACCCCCCAGTAAATCCATCCCTGACCTAGTGCAGTGACATGAGGAGGGTAACAAAATTGCAAAAGGAACATGACAATGTTTTAAAAATCAGATTTATTGTTTTGAAAATCAGATGAGCAAGATCAGAGCTCGAAATAACGTTTCCAACGTTCCCGATCATGCTGATAAGCAGTCATGATTTTCTACTGATCAAATGAAAATTTGGCCAATCGGTATAGGATACATTGTGTTTATATGTTCTGTGATAATACCGTAGTATTGCATGGTGTCTGTTAACAACATTAACCATGTTTTTGAGACGATGGTTTTTGCCGATCAAGATGATCGACAATCTTGCTTCTCTGCCGATCAAAAGCAATTTCCTGCCGATCATTGATCGTTGATCGGCCGTTATTTCGAGCCCTGGATCTTGACATGGATACCCACCCTAACAGAGCCATATGGCAATCCAATTTTATTTCACTCTCTGTATTTAATTAACCTGAAACTTTTTCTTTATTGTCAGATTGATATAGAAAAATCAAAATGTCAAGTTACTTTTGAAGATGATTCCATTTACTGGGTTTTATTCAAGCATATTAGAACAGGTATATAACACACTGCTTAAAGAAATTTCCTTTGTGGGGGCAGTGTGGATCTTTTCTGGAATGACCCATTATTCTGGCTTTCTTTTTAATTTTACACACTGTAGTTGCAAGGAACAAAGGTGAAACCTTGTGTTCTGTGTGTGACAAATCAGAATCAACTCATCAGAATGAAATTGTTGTGTGTGCAAGCTGTTTTCATGGTAATTTCTTTACATACATTACTAGTACTAGTGGCGAGACTAAGGCTATGTTTACATCGGTATCGGATTGCGTCCGACGCAAAAACATACCGGATAGGGCTTCTGTTTACATATGAAATGTTGTTATCGTCTCAATTTCTGCAACGAACCGGTGGTGCGGCGGTTCGATCTTCGAAGTGGTGTGCGGTGTATCGGATCGGTTTTTGCAACGCTCTCATTGTGATGTAAACACCAATCGGAGCAGTTACGGTTCAATGCGTGACTCAAGATGGAATCTGGCAAACAACAACTTACTATTCTAATAATATATAGAAGAAAATACGACGGCATAGATGGGCGGGGGCATAAGCTGTTTACACTTGGGCCATAACTTTTTGCGAACGAAACAAAAACTGATCCGATACAATATAAACATAGACTAAGTGAGACACACCCAAGCTGTGTGGGATGAAAATATTTTGAATATTTACTACCCTCTATGTTTCTAGGATACCATCAAACATGTCACATTCCAGTCATTCCTGAGCAAAGTATTGATTCTGAATGGTTTTGTAGAGCCTGTGTGTTTTCTAAGGCCACTAAGGTTCGTTATTAACCCATTGAGTGGCAGCCTCTCCACTTGACAAGTAAAATTGTCTGCCGTTAAAATAAAATACTAAAGTAGGGCACATCGGGGTGCATTGCCACTTAAAAGGTTAAACTAAAAATACTCTAACCTAACTTTCTGAATATGAAACAAGATAGAAACAAGACATATATACTCCAAATGACACATGACAGATCTGACAGGGATTTTAATAAACTAAAATGAAAATATCACTGCATATAACACAGTTCTTGAAAGCACACAATGCTTTTATTTGGAGTAGTTTCATTTAATTTCTATATGTCCTAAAGTTGTTGGCTGGAAATGGATTCTATATTTATTAATCTTCATATTACAGTCAATTTCAGCTGACTTTTCACTCAAATGTTCCGAACTTTGCAAATTTGTTGCCAAGTTCAAAAGTTCATAATGAAATTCACAAACAGGTTTGTAAACTGGGCATTTGATTGGCTGGTTTGATTTAATAGCCAATCAGAGGCTTTGTTTACAAACCTGTTTGTGAATTTCATTATGAACTTTTGAATTTGGCAACGAATTTGCGAAGTTCGGAACAAAGTTCGGAATCTTACGGTGAAAAGTCAGCTGAAATTGACTGTAACTGTCTGCAATACCCCAAAGTGCATATAGTTACAATTAAACATTTAATAGGGATGAATAGAAAGTGATTTAATAAATACGGTAATGTTGTGTGCATGGTATTTTTTAGGCTGGTGGTGCTTTAAAGTCTGGTGCTGATGGTATGTGATTCAAAATAATATAAACGGCCACAGAAGCTAGTTTATTAAAAATAATTATCCCACTGCATAAACATCTCAAATTATTAATTACCTTGCTTACAACTGATACAAATTGCAATAACATCTCAAATTATTAATTACCTTGCTTACAACTGATACAAATTGCAATATTAATATTATACTATTAAAACTTGTTTCTTGTAGCTGATGCTTTAAGAACTGTGAAATCCGTTTTCCCGTATGATGTGAGTATGCGTGTTACACATTTACACTTTCTGAGCAGCCTAGCTAGGTGGCTGCACGCCTTTGCCCTTAACGTTTCTATACTTTTGATAGCAGCTGTCTTATATATAATGGACAACTTGCATGTTAGAGTGTTAGACTAAATTTTAATCTAAGTACATGTAAAAAGAAAGGAATCAAACGCAACAGTTAAACAGAACATAATGAAATTAGTAACATTGCAAAATTTGGTTGCAAAATGTTGTAAAGTACAGAAAATATAGCCTTGTGAAGTTTGCACATTTTCAGTATATTTGTATATTAAATACGTGCGGAAATTGAAAATATGCAAACTTCGCAAGGCTATATTTTCTGTATCTTACAACCAAATTTGGCAATTTTACTTAAATTTTAATAAGTTCTCTACGGGAATTTACTTTTTTTTGCCTAAATCAAAAATTAGTCTAACATGCAAGTTGTCTAATTGTTGTTTCAATTATTCAGCTGAATGTGTTACAGTGGGATGGTAATCATAAATCTAACACTGACGAAATGTATTGCTATTGTGCTGGACCTGGATTGTGAGTTCATATCTAATACTTTCAGATTTAATTGCCATTGAGAACTGATAGAGCTGAACATTTAGTATAAAGAGATGTTATGATTTTATTATTATTTTTCTAATTCAGATGGTATTACAAGATGTTAGAATGTCAGAACTGTCGGCAGTGGTTTCATGAAGGTACATATAAACACAAACCTGCATTTGGAGCATAACCCATTGTTATGTAATACTATTTCTTAAAGAACTAATTTGTACTTTATTAGCATGCCTGCAATGTCTGGATTATCCTCTATTACTGGGTGATAGGTATGGTATACAGTCGCTTACATTTTGATTTTTGCTTCTGCATTAATATTTCCTTTTATTTCAGCAATCTAACACATTTTTCCCCCAACTTCAGATTGTACTACTTTGTGTGTGCTGTGTGTAATAACGGTGAAGAATATCTCAAGCGTATGCAGTTAAAATGGTAGGTTTGAAACCCCATTATTTGTTTGAAAATATCAGTAAATTTCTTAAATTTAACTCACTCTACTTTCATACCTCATGCCCTTATTCGATCACTTTACTCACTCATGTGAAAATACTTGAAAATAAGATTTGTATCTTGCCAGGACCATGTAATACCCTCTATATGCTTCTGATTCAGGTCAGATATCGCTGCATTGGTGTTGTATAATCTTTATTTGAAGTACGACAAAAGAGGTTTCAAAAGCAGCGATGTTGAACTTTTTCTCAACGACAACTGGAATGTTTTACAATGTGGCAACGTAAGTCATTTGCTAACGATTCTTTTTAAAGTGGAAAACCTTGTCAAACTCTGTCAATTCTCTACAGTTGCAAGACACTCCAGAGGAAGAAAGAATCGAAAAACTCACTGAAGTTATGAAAAAACAAAAACGCAAGTAAGTCCAATAAGTAATTATAGTTTTATTCAGTACAGTCATGATTATGTAGTGTTTAATTAGTCGAGTTGCCAACTATAGCATTTATCAATGTATTATTATTATGTGCTTTTCATTATATGTATAGTAGTTTTGTATTTGGTGGCCAATGAACAATCTCGTGTACCCAGAGTACAGAATTAATGCCAGAGTATGCCCATTCACAGGTTATAGGTGCTAGCATACTCTGGGCACGAGACTGGCCCCAATGAATGCAATTTGGTTTCTGCTCCTACAGTGTAACAGTTTTAATGTTTACCATCATCTGCTTGCCCTGTAACGCGTGCAGAAACACGCCAATGTTGTTTTCGTTGTGTCTAGATTTCGTTGTCAGAGCAGCGGAAATGGCAACATAACTTGGTCATTATTCATTCGCTGTGCTCCCTTTCCAACAAAAGCGAATTTACTTCTTGAAGCAAAGCGAAAGAGCGAAAGTGAAGCGACATCAAGCTTGATTGACTGGTACGTATGTGAAATACTTGAAATCTCATTTCCTGAAATGAACGAGTGACAAACTTTTTTATGTGCAGTTAATGGAAAGTCATTGTGGGATAAAACTAGTCTTGAACTGGTTGGGTGACAGTGCAAGTAGAAAAAGATACAAACTGTGAATTTGTTGGGGGGGGGGGGCGTTGGCAGGAGAGCAACCTCCCCCTCCCTCAATTTCTGAATAACTGTGTAACAAAGCTGTACCTATAATTTCTCAACCATGAAAGCGTTTTGGTAGGCTATAAATTGAGCTATATCTAGCATGAAGTTTACGGCAAAAAAAGTTGAAACAACTAAGATTTCCAGATACGAAAGGTTGTCGTATGTTGGAACTTAACCCTCCCCCCGCCAACATTTCGCCAAGTGTGTGCCACTGTCTTGGAGGTTGCAATGTTATTTGGAAACCGCGGACAGTCTGGCGAAACTGACCTGCGTCCTTCAAATCAAACACAGGCGACTTTAGTGACTGTCTTTCGTTTCAGTAACGGGAATTATCTACAAGCTGATGACTTTGAAGACCACTCATCAACATTAAGTCGAAAAGAGGTATGCTCTTATATATTGCATATTATTAGGCGTAGCCATAGTATTACGGTTAGGCAGACCCTCGCTTATTTGCGCGCATTTAAGAACGCACAAATTTAGATTTTGAAAGCGATCACACTAATTTCAAGTCATGATAACACATAACTCCACGGGCATGCGATTACAAAAATAATTACACCACTATTTGCGAGACGATCTCAAAATTTTCAACTCCAAATTTTCAAAGGTGAATCATCAAAGCGAGACGGATACGTCAGAGATCCCAACTAGTTACCAAGCCCCTCTCTTTCCGTCGTTGTCCATGTTCAAGTATTTATTACCGAGCTGTGGTTCGCGGGGAAGCCCGGATTTAACTTCGCAGTCTGATCGTGATTCCGAGCGTTGTCCGAAAACTGGCGACAAACGGCTGCGATCAAGCGAATCAGAGGATTCTACTATCAGCGAACCAATAGAAAAGCGTTTTGTGAATTACGTAGAACGTTTGTCGGATAATATTACGTCATACGCGGGAACCAATGGGAGGCTAGCTTGTGGGGAGGATTGTCGCTTGCTTGGTCGGAGGTTGGCCAGGAATGGAAGCATTGAATACTTAGTACAATGGTCTGGTGTTACTCCTGATAGCTTTTGACGGATTTCTATGACAGAGTTGATGGTACATATTCTCAACAAAATTGTGGTTAGCGTAAGAGACACTATGAATAGTTTATAGAGAAACATATATGGAGAAATTAAAGTGTGCTTTATCATAAAGCAGTTTAAACCTATAGGGGGGGGGGGAGGGGGATCATGTCGATCCATAAAGAAATAACTCGTTTTCAAAGAAACACAAATATGAGATCTTATAATTTGTTATAATCACAGATGATATATTATGGAATATATTTCATTTTTCTATATCTGTTTCCCAACAGAATTAACTGTCAAAATTTATCTGCAAACTTAGTTTGTCAGTTGGCATTTGCTACATAGGTCTGTAGATGTAAATTGTTATATTGTGTGTTATTTGAACCAAGGATAATATATATTTTACGTTGCTTTAACCCTTGTTGAATGACGTATCAAAGGTGTGTATCATTTCCCCCATCATGGGAAGATGTTTGAGGAAGAAAGTAACCTTGCAATTGTCTTCGCATGGGCTGCCTTTCAGGCTTTCACCTCTTTGACTAGGATTATCACAGGACTTTCAAAATAAGTGTGCCACGAGGTTTACGGCCAATCACTTTACTTAGTACCCGAAATATCAATACTGCTCTCCTTCCTCCACTCTAAGCTTTCAAACAAAGTTATTTTTCCTCAACCTGCTCTACTTTATAGCCTGGTCATTTTCGAAAACGACGTACTATTTTGTAGAACTGATTCAGTTATTTGCCATCTTAAATCTTGAAGTAACCTTGTTGAAGAATGAAAGTGGTGATACATTATAATTTGTTCCAGAGCTCAGTTGTGTTGTTATCTAATCAACATACACTATAGTTAATATGGATGATTTCAGTCTTCCTAGACCCCTTCCCACAACCGCCTTGTGAAAGTCCTGTCGATTCTTGCAATATGTACACACGTAAAAACGCACAAGTTGTTACAGGTCTGCAAACAAGTTGTTACAAATCTGTTCACAAGCTGTCAATAAGTTGTGTTCGCACTGCTTGTTCCCAGTTGTTGTAACAAGGTTGGAACAAGCTGTTAACAACTTGTAACAAGCTTGATGACATTATCAGACTTGTCAAAAGATTGTTCTAACAAGTCCGATACAGTCATGATATAACAAGAATGTTACAAGGTTGACGACACAAAGTTGTAACAATATTGTTATATTATGACAGTATCGGACTTGTTGGAACAACCTTGCAACAAGTCTGACAATATTGGTTGTTACAAATTGTCAACAGCTTGTTCGAAACTTGTTGACAACTTGGGACAAGCAGTGCGAAGACAACTTGTTGACGGCTTGTTGGCAGACTTGCTACAAGATGTGAGATTTTTAGGCGTATAGTTGTGTGATTAACTGATTATAACTTTACCTCAGTCACATGAGAAAAGAGAGCTTATACCGCAAAGTAAACTCGGTCTTCACATATTTTTGTAAAATGGTCACAAAAACCTAATTTTCAATTCTGATTCAGCGCTTACTAGACTGTAAAATAGGCGCGTAACAAGCAAAGAATAAAAACGAGAAACAAGACAGACCACTTTTTTAAACTTGTAAATTAATTTAATTTTAACTTTTACAAATAATTCCACACGGCATTTGCGTGTGTGCGTTTTGAATCAGTTGTTTGTACAAACGTAAAATACTTTGTTCCCTTCAGTAAAGAACCACAAGAACGACGATGCAAATAAATAGAATTGTCCAATTTAGTTCAATCTTCTTGTTCGCAGAACTATTGACCACCATTTGCTACCTTTAAATGCTTACTCAAACCCACCAATACACCTTACCGATTATTCTCCTTTACCCAATGGCCTCGTTTTCATGTTAACTTATTTTAGCATGTCAGGGGCAGATAAAGATTATATTCCCATGTTTTCCTGGACGAATTTGTTTGTTGCTATTCCTAGGCTCAATAACAAAGTAATTTTCAACCCTACTAAGCACAAAACACGAGTAAGTATTTGACACGAAAACGAGGCCATTGGGTGAAAAGTGAATAAACAGTAAGGTCTATTGTGTACGGACTATTTTGTCCAGTGAACTATATATAAAAATCTGGAGCAAGAACTTTAGTCATTCGGCCTACGAGAACAGTGAAGCCAAGAAACTGACGTCCAATAATAACGCCACTGAAACTGAAACTGACGTCCAATAATAACGCCATCTTTGGCTTCGCTTTTTGGGCTCGAGTTCTCACTCCAGTATACATATGGAGGTCACTGATTTTGAACAACTGGAAACAGCCAAACTCGGCGTATTTCAAGCTTAAATTAATTTATCTTCGCTATAAATACTTAGATTAAATTAAAATATAGTTTCCAAACATCTAGCTAGGTTTAAATAAGTACTATCTGGTAGCAGACCATAATGATCTTCTAGTTGCTTCGGTTTTTATACAAAAATTCTATCTAGTCTTGACTCAACTAAATTCTCAAAATCCACATCTACATCTCCTAGAAACCTAGTATCGTAAAAAAATTCTAGTCCAAATTTCTCAGATTTGCTATGACGCCTGCTGGGTCACGTCGACAGGCTCGGCTTTTATTAAAGGTGGCGGGGAGCGGGTTGTCGTGACCGGATAGTGTTCGCTTGGCCGAATGATCACCGATCGTGGTCGAATGCCTGCGATGTTGACACGACCGCAACACGGTGACTGCATAACGGCATAGGGATGGTAGCGATAAAGATCGAGGGGTACACCCCTGGCGTAATAAGCCATGGTGGGGTATTGATGGTAGCTATAAAGTTTATGTGCTAAACCATTCTGTGTGTTCATGTTCATGTTCATAGGGACGACCACAGGTGCTGTGTTGATGCGCTCAATTGGGCCATAACTCGTGACGACAGGCGGACTGAGCCGTTCCACGTCAATATGCTCTTCTTTGATTGGTTGAACTTCTTCCGTCTTTACTTCCGGTATCGGAGAAGGTTCCCTAGGCGGAGAAACCTTCCCGGAGATTTTGATCACCGATGGTCTTCTCTCCCGATGTCGAGGAGTTGCGTTTTCATCCTGGGTTCGTGTCGGTTCTGGGGATGGTTTTCTCTCTGTTCGAGGTTCTTCCTTGACGTGTTTGGACTTCTTGTTTCGATTGTCGAAGGGTAGATTGACGAACTTGTAGACCAAACGTTGTCCACTCACCTGTAAGAATGAAAGAATCAAGATTTAGTAAAGCTTGGGTGTAAATATGACACATGATATATATAGGATTTTCCGATAATAAGGAAGCTTTGGATTGGTAGGCATGCAACTACCTGAAAAATATAAGGAGAACGTCGACGTTTCGAGCGATGAGCGAAGGTCGGGAAGTTAGTAGTCGAAACGTCGTTACAAGTTCTCCCTGTATTTTTCAGGTAGTTGTATCGCTATTAGTCCGAAGTTTCTTATTGGCACCACCTACAGTGATACAGGCCCTTCAAGATTATAATATTCCAGTAACACTCGACAAGAGATGACCCTTACTGGACATCTAAGGAGAACAGTTTAGAACCAAATAGAACTATGCAGTATTCATAAAATTAAGGTTTCCTCCTGTATATAGTAACTCTTGACAAGGAATGGCTCTCCAAAGAGAAGAATCTAGAACTGATAGAACTATCCAGTATAACCTGTCTAGTTTTGGTTACGTTTCTTTGTCAAAAATTCTACCAAAGTACTCAATATCACGTCCGTATAACAAGGAAATCGGAAGATTTTCTGAGTGGCGTTACACAAGTACCCACGGAACTGTATACTTAAATAAGACTTACAATTATGATAGTTCTTTCAAAAAGAATAAATATGGAATGATGGAGTATCAAACTCATATAATGCTCTTGAATAGCAATAGTTTGGATTTACGAAGTTTGAAATGTATTCTACTCCGACACAATCAAAACCAAACATAGTCAAATGGACAATTAAATTGTTCTATTTTTATCTAAACTATATAAATCGCTTTCATTTTCCAAATCGGTCACTAATTGCCAAATGTTGGAACAATGAATCTATATTGGGCTACGCGCAATTATTTATGCCAAGTCAACATTATAATTATTGTGGTTAGATATGAAAAAAAAATTTGACATTCCCAAGTTCAAATTAATAAGCTTACGCTTGCAGTTGGTTGCTTACGCTAGCTTTGAAGTCTCCAGGTATTGAGTAAATTACCCGTGTCCTATTGTGAAGCAGTGATGAAGCATTGAAAACGGTGGTTCGCTGGAAAGGCCAATATTGAAGTGGCAAGATAAGTGGTCCTTCAAGCGCGATTTTTCAAGTGGAATAAAATTAGTTCCTCAATTGTAACAAATCATGCTTTGTGCGAATTTCCGACAGTGACCGGACCCCTGCCGAGTCTTTTCCGAGTTTGAAATGAAGGAAAATATATTGGTGTATAGATTAATAGAAGCTTGCGGAAATTGTCAAGCATGTTTTTGTCAAGTGGGTATTCAATGTGGCAAAAGATTTTGAAATTTGAACTTGCCCTTGGCTGAACTCGCCTCATTGGGCGGTTTCGCTGCCAACTCGACGAAGTTGAGTGCAAATGGTCCGAGCAATGCGTCATAAGTTCCATTCCTGTCTGTGGATCTGAAATTTCAGTTTTTAAAATTTTTAACAACTACGTAGTTTTTAGGGTTGGGTTTAAGATTGCCTGGAGTTGGGTAAGGTTATGGTTAATGATAGGTGAACGTTAAATCCCGAAGTCAAACATTTAGCTTAAATTTCAAATTTATATCATGGTTTGGATTTAAGGTTATGATTTGGCTTATTAAGGTGAATTGTAGAGTTCGGGTGAGGCTGTGGTGGGTTATATTTAGATCTGGTTTTATATCTGGCTAGAATTTGGGTTGAGCCTTAAGGTCATTATGGTTGAACATGTAGAATTAAATTTATTGGTGGGGTCGGTTGTCCAAAGCTGGATTAGCTCGGCTAACTCTGTCGGTACTATAACCTACATGCTGTTACAGCTTGTGTATTTCTGAACGTTTGTTCATTTCAAAACTTCACAAAAGAAAACTCCCATTGATCCAGACAAGATTTTCGAAGAAATATTTCAAAGTGTCTAACCACGCTGTTGGGAAGTTTTCGTTCGGAATTTCATGTTAACCTAGGCTTAAGCTAACCGGCTTTTGAACAACGGCTCCAGAAGTCTGACGATGAGGCTTACAAAAGAATAATTTACAGAACATATTCTATCTTTAGAATCTTTCCACAAACAAAAAGTATTCTATATTATATCTTGATACTACATGATGTAGAGGACCATAAAACTTCAACAATTCAATTTATAAATTCAATAAAATGCGTATTGCTATGTTGCATCATTTACTTTGAAGTGTGACGTTTGTTTGGTCCTAATTGTATTTCCTGAGCTTCGTATTAACACAATAAATCGACACGTGTACAAATTTGAACGTGAGCCAACAGCGGGCAGCCAAGGTAAAGCACCCCCTTCGCCTAGCATGAGGTCAGGCAAAAATTTCCGGTTGTGAAAAATTGACACAAATTTCTGACGTGAAAATATCTGGTTTTAGATTTGATAGTTCCATAGGCCTCTCATATAATCGTTCGGCAGTTGTTTCTTCGTATATGCCACGGGTATTTATAACTTAAGCGTGATTATTTTGGCATGTTGTAATGTTCTGGAAGTCGATGTCACCTTGGGCAAGACTGTAAGTCACTCGGAATTCACTCGGAATCGGAAGCCATTACTGTTCATCAACTGTGAGTTATTTTGGGACTCAACAGAGATTTTGCAATCATTCCTTAATTTTGTTCAATGTGAAGAAACCTAAATTAAACTAACTATATTCATACTGGATAGCTCTATCAGTTCTATACTGTTCACCCTAGAGGTCCAGTAAGGCCCATACCTTATTGTAACATTCACTACAGTGTAACAAAGGAGAGAGTCCGAGAGACTTGAGTATACAAAGGAGAGAGTCTAGTCTGTTCACAAGAGTTTTTAATCATATTACTTCAAACTAGCGTTACACGCCCATATAATCTAACCACAGCGTTGGGGGGGGGGGGGGTGCTCTCATCCCCCACCCCTAACCGCCTCAACCATTCAAATATTACCCACCTTTTTTATAATATTCTTCTGATAATAATACCGTAGAGCTCTACTCAGTTTCTCATAGTTCATTCTCGGCCTGTGTTTCCTGTTGCCCCATCTTTTGGCAATCTCTTCCGTGTCTTTGAGTTTGAATTCGTATTCTTCTTCTTTGGTCCAGCTGATAAGCGAGGAGCATGCCTCGTCTGTGAGAAGCTCAAGCAAAAATTCCCAAAGATGCGTAGAGTTCTTATGTGTTGATTTCTTGGTTAGAACTTGGGTAGGTGGTGTTCCTAGATTAGATAATAAACCAAATGTTAGCCGGGTCGTCCTTTTCCCTGGTTACAGCTGTTGCAAAATAATAGTAATATAAAGATCCTTTTCGATGTCTTTGTATTTGAGACGGAAAAGATGTTAGTTTCCATGGGTTTTGTAGTATTTTGTGGCCGGCATTGCCATGGGATGAGCTAAATCTAATTTCTTTCAAGAGCGTACGCCTAGCGTGGCTATTCCTGGCTGCTAAACTATAGCATGAAATAATATTTTTGTTTTGGGGATCCTAAGTTTTGGGGTCAAAGTTTCTATCGAGCTCACTAATATTTTTCGTAATAAATTATTTTCTGTTCCTGTTAGCATTATGTAATGCCCTAAAATTTCTGCCATGCAGTTAAGCCATGTCTGAAACTATTCTGGGATCTTAGATGCCGCGGGATCTAGCTACCTTTATGTCCTATGTGCTAAACTGGCTTCACTGGCAGTTCAGACACAAACCATAACAGTTTATTGTACAATACTAACTACATTGAGAACCCCCAACGTTTGATAACGATCTTAGGACGAATAGAAAATCGACCAGCGGTAGTTCAACGGGTCACCTTGACCCTCCGCTTCGATATTTCATTCTGCTGGATTTCCGAAGACAAAATATCGGAACGTTTGATCTATCTTCTGGGATTTCGTGTCGGAAACCTGCGCTAAATCATAGAGGTATTTTTCTAAACGGATGTAGACAGTTCCAATCCTATAATTATGGGAAATGCCGTTATTTTTTGTTAAAAAAACGTGCAATTATCACTCGGTTGCGTAAGTCCGTCTTGGTAATATTGCATGCAAATTCCGGTGGCGATATGGAAAAGGCTTTTCAAAAGATACAGGAAAATTGAATACTTTTCTAAATGTGTTTCATCCGCACTATCATACAGTATAGATGGTGGTCGATTGATAGTTAAGCCTGGTTTAAACTAACAACGTTTCTGTGATCACAGTAGGAATTTTGAATAGGTGAATTCCTTAGAATTTGTAAGACATCTTTGAGGGAAATGACTCACTGTTAAACACTGAATCAGTTCCCACAAATCCTTCAAAACGTAGAATTTACCTATGCAAAATTCCTACTGTGATCATACTTTGATAGTTTAAACAAGTCTTGATATCAAAGAGAATAATAATATCAATTCTTTTTGTTGTTGCGTCCAATTTTAAAGTGGAATTGAGAGATTTCATATATTACTGACTCACTGATTAACACTGATTCAGCTCCCTCGCACCTTTCTTACAAATCCTTCAAAACGTAGAATTTACCTATGCAAAATTCCTACTGTGCTCATACTTTGATAGTTTAAACAAGCCTTGATATCAAAGAGAATAATAATATCAATTCTTTTTGTTATCGTGTCCAATTTTAAAGCGGAATTGAGAGATTTCTTATATATTAAAAGTGTCAATATTTCTGAAGATATCCTCCTCTGCCTTGTGATCTTGCTGAAACCCCCCGACACAAATATCTCGTTGTTGGTAACTAGAAAACTGTGGATGAATAGGAATTGAAGTACCAGAAAAATACAAGGGCCTTCGCAGAAAACATCGATGTTTTGCTCGTATTTTTCAACTAGTTAAATCCCTTTCCATCCGCAGCTTTGTGGTGTTTCTGTCGCTACCCAGACCGGTCAGAACGGTCAAATTTTTGAATGGAACACAAAACATTTAGGCTTCGGACTTATCTGAGCGGAAAATTTAGATAACATTAGAATGAGGTCCATTTTCGCTAGATATTTGAGAAACATAGACCAGATCTTTCCATTGATACAGAGAAAAGAATTCGGGTCTGACCGGTCAGCCCATTAAGTTTTCAAAGTTTTCTTTCATCTTAATGGGTTGGTGGGCGTCTGCGTATAGAACTATAGGACTATAGGAAGTATCAGAACTTAAACTTAGGAAGTATGTGTACTCGCGTGCGAGGAATTTGCGTTAAGACAAACAGTCTTTAATTAACGCATTTTTCACCACGCAGATTTCGTAACCGAGAATCTTCCAAAAATTATCTGACCATTTTGTTTTTCCGGCATTTTCAAGCCGAAAATAGATTTCTATGCGGTGTCCTGTTGATTTTGGAATTTATGGTGTTCGGGCTTTTGTGTGACTGCATGAATACATCTTCCCACACTTCCGAGTGTGCTCGATGCATTCTTGTCGTTTCTAAGTTTGCATGGTGACAAAGATCATGACTTATATGGTGTCTGGCTGTTGACTAATCGTTGAAATTATTTTGCAAACAATGTCTTTAATCTGCTCGTTCGCTCCTATGAATCAGACCGAAGCATTATGAATTCAACTAAACTATGTTTACACTGAATAGTTCCAAACTGTCCTTCCTGTATAGATGCCTATTAACGAAACCACTAAACCTAATTTATAACTGGGTAGTTCTATGAGTGCTAAACTGTTATCCTTAGAGGTCCAATAAAGCCCTCATTGAATCTTAGATTCCCTCGTTCTATCATATTACTACAGGAGGAAACCTTAACTAAACTAACTTTATTTGCAGTGAATAGCTCTATCAGTTCTAAACTGTTCTTCCTTGAGATCCAGATATCGTTTTCAGGTAGTTCAGACAGCAACCCCAGCAGTAGAATACTACTTACAAATCTGGGGCAAGGTTATAGAATAGATTTATAAGGGAAGGCCCTTATTGCTTCGTTTTTCCTGTGGCGTTTGGTAGAGTCGAACTGGAAGCACTCTTCCAGTAAGTAACTGAAGCTAAATATAACTACACTATAAATACAAACCTTGCAGCAACAAGAATGTTACTATCTTTAGACTCCAATTAGCTAAATTATATACATGTGTCTAACCACGCTCACTAACATACCTACATAAAACTTAATGGACTACCCACACATGACGCAGATCCTGGAAAATTATAGTTCCCAACTAATTGCCTCTTCTTCGATCTTATCTTTAATGTCTGGCGTGGGCACAACAATGCTAGGAAATACCTTGAAGATGCTTTAAATTAAACAGTCCTATAGCACTTCGCTTGCTTGTGATATCTAACTGTTGCCTTGCAACTTCTGATATTGTCACAATACAAGTAAACCATAGTTAAAAGTAGAAGTCATCTACTACAGTTGTCAGGTTAGCAGAAGATACTTTGATTCCGCTGGCAAGAAAGTCCTATACAGGTCTCTCTAGGAGTGGGCACATTGCCTAAGTCTTCTTCAATTTTATAAATCTATCTATAACCTTGCCCCAGATTTATTACAATTGTTTTATGGTAGTGTTGTAGTGTAATTACAATGATATCTCAAACGTGGCGTCCAATGTAAGTAGTATTCTACTGCTGGGGTTTGTATCTGTACTACCTAAAAACCATATCTCAAATGTAGGATCCGGTGTAGGTAATATTCTATAATGAGCTGTCGTGGTTTGTGTCTGAACTACCTGAACAAGATTGAAAGCATTTCAGTGAAGTATTCTTAATCTTTTACAGGTAGTTGCAACAAAATCACCACCAGCTCAAATACAATATTCTACAAATCATTTCAAGTTTCATATAACTACTAAGTCCCCATTCATCTTCAACTTTCATGTCAATGGGTGTCACTCACATCCTGTAGGAAGCATTGAAGCACTGGCCCTCGTAATATGCGGAAGATTCGTCAGTGTTGTTATGACAACACAACTCTCAATGTACATTCCTTATAATTCATTTGTATAACAATCAGACTGTATTAGCCATGGGAATGTCGCGATTGTCTGACATGGCGAAACTAGATTTAAGAAATTCAAAGGCACATTCCCATCTGGTAACTTCTGTTAGAAAATAAATTTGCCGTATGCATATGCGTTGAAACAACTATAGTCCCGTATAGTTTTTTGAGCTAAATCGTATTAGTGACAATTTCATATATTACTGTATTGTGTTACCCAAATTTTGGTAAATAGGACAATATTTTTACAGTCTGATGTACCCAGTATTTGGCGCTCCTTCAAGGATCAAAGGCGAACTCTCACGTTAATGCATTGTATAAAATGAGTGATGCTTTAGTTGTTCTGTTATTTTTTGGCATCAATATATAAGTATGACGATATTTATTTGTAGTGTGATATATTTGGCCCTGTGTCAAGGCTCAAGTGTGGGCCCTTACGTAGGAATAAGCAATATGCAAGTTTAACTACAAGAGAAGCACATTTGTTAGCAGTTAGGTATAAGGGATTGTATGTAGAAACACTGTGAACGATTAAAACGCACATGCCAATGATTTAAGCTGTTCTTCTCCGCTGATTTTTGGAAGGAGCAATGTTCTAGAATCTAGATCTTTTGCAAAATTACTGGAGCGCGCCATTGTCCAAGCGTCGACTTTATTGTGTAAAATATCTGTTTAAATCTAACCACTATTCCACAATGTTCAACGCTTCTTCAAGCAAATTTGTGCGAATGCTTCAGTAACTCGCGAAAATAGATTTAATTTGTTTGTTACCTATTGGGGTGCATATGAGATTGCGCAAAATGATCGTTCCGCAAACATGGCCACATTCATTCAAAAATAGCCACATCTTTGATGAATGGGTGTGCACGTAGCGTTTGCGTGTACACCGAATGGCCTAGAGCCAACAGGCAAGTGCTTTATTTGTGTGTTGCTGTGGCGCGCAGCGTGATAAAATCAAAACAACACAATAGTGTAAAAATCCGTTGCACGAAGCGCGGTCACCACGAAATCTAATCTTGTGTGAATATCCACAGGCGTATTAGTAGCATAAGATTGGTGTTGAAGATCAGGAGTTCAAGGATTTCCCTTTTTGTAAATCAACCAGGTGGCATAATTCACAGCTGTGTGAGGAAGTACTCCTGACAACCTTAAGCCTAGCGCTTCCTTCCGCTCACCAATGCCCTTGACATATACATGTGTAAAAATCTACTAAATATCGACAAGCTTTCGTTGGTAGGGACACAACTACCTGAAAAATATAAGGAGAATTTCGACGTTTCGAGCGAAGGCCCTTCGTCGAAATTCTCCTCATATTTTTCAGGTAGTTGCACCAAAGAAAGCTTGTTAATATTATTGCCACAGACAGTTCAAAATTATACTAAATATTGCTACTATACAGATATGCTTGTCGACTTGCAGAAATGTTAACACACTGATAGGAAGCAAACAAAACTAAATCTCTCAAATAAATAGGATTTTATTTGCCTCCAAATACAAGACTACTTCATAGAATGAAACAAATCAACATCATTTCCTCACTGTGATAACTGCAGGTTCACTATCATCTGTGACCTTAGAACCTATATATACAAGCTGCGTTGGAAACCCAGGGCCGAAATAGGTAGCGGGGCTCGTGACTACGGACTTTCTGTTGCTGTCTGCAGTGTCATATCTTGGAGGAAGATTCTTCAAGTGGTTCCCTCCCACCTGTGAGTTAATATGCTAGTCATGTTTTATTATATTTTATTTAACCGTGTCAAAAAAACTCAGGAATTTTCCATCAGTTATTATGCAAAATCCTTAGCAACAAATCGGAAGTCCCTTTGTCCCAGAACCTAATTAAATTTAGTAATATCCAAGGACATGTGTTGCCTTGAAAACGCAATCTGAAACAGTGAATCCTTTGTATCTAGTGAAAATTTAAACTTTAACCCCTCACAGACCTCGCTGTCGTGCTGTGACTGGCTTTGCTTGGGAATTTATAGCTTTTACAATGTCACCTTCGTGTTGACACGCCGCGCGAAATTAAATCGAAATGAGCGTGTTGGGAATTCGCGGTCTTTTCCGTATGTGGGAATACGGAAGCGAGCTGGAATAGGTTTCAAATGTAAAATTTCTTTGTGTAGGAAGTGTTTTCTTGCGGTTAAGACACAACTTTTTACGCTAAAGTGCAAAGAATGCAACAGTAGCTTATTTCTTGTCTTTCATCACAAAAATACCTCAAACAATTTGAAATCTGATTACTTCCTCTCATTATATGGCACGGTGGCAACTAGGAATGCCAATACTAACGCGTTCTAATGGCTCGTTTAGAACAACAACATAAACTTGTGGTTAAAAATATCTAACCTCAACATTTCATTGAGGCGAAAAAGCTAATCACTTTTTACTTCCTTAAAACTGATCGTTAGCCTGTGATACGGAAGATTTATCAATAGACGCATTCTTCCGGAAGGCAATAAATTTGGAAATGATAACGTACACAGGGGTCCATGTAATTCTTCCAGTGCTTTTTTTAAATCACGAATGAAGCTATAGCTATAGTAGGTCTTAGAGCTATACTAAGGATGATTCAGCCGCAATTTACTTTTTCTCTGTCACAATTTTGAATTCAGGTTTCTTCTCTATTAGCATGGAGTAGGATTAGTCAAATACAGCGGCCGGGCTCGTATCATTCTCTCACTCTGCTTGGATAGAACTATTCAAGAATATTGTGCCTGTGTCAATGGCCTCTGTCTAGTTCTTTATGTTAGATAAAACCTCAACTTTTTATGCACTTCATAGGTTGTAAATCCCTGTAAGTTAGTAATGCTCACTAGATTACATCGAGTCATCGACAGTATTTTCAATGCACATAGTGTATATCACAACCAATTTAGGTCGATAGTATATCAAGATGAAATATTAGAATTATCAGCCCTTTGTGGTATATATATATATATATATATATATATATATATATATATATATATATATATATATATATATATATATATATATATATATATATATATATATATATATATATATATATATATATATATATATATATATATATATATTCATATCTATGTCATGGCGATAAAATTAATAGTGCTTTGCATATGGACTTATATGGTATAGACTTGAGGGATTGGTTCTAATGTAAGACACGTTGATTCTGTCGCGCTCAAAACTATAGCAAGACGATTGCCGTTTGTAAACGCGCACAAACCAAAAAGCTGTAGTCACTTCCCATTATAATTTCAGTTAACTAAATAGACGGTATGGAAAGGTCATTGTGTGAACTGATACCAGCGACTATCCCTTCTGATCTCATCCCTTACAGATTGTGTATTTTTATTTCCCTGATAAGGTATCTACCTATGGTTGCTATGTTTTCAGCTACGGTTAAAAATATAATAATGAGATGCACAATGCCAAAATGCTAAAATGCCGTCCTTTATGGCAATCGAGTAATCAATTATGTTCCCATTCTAGTTACCCAGACATTTCGTACGGAAAGAGGGCTTCGATTACAGACAAATGTAGTAGTGATTCATTGGATTCAAAACTCCAGTAAATCTCGGCATTCGCTCGATTTGACAATAAGAATTGTGATTTGATTCATATATCAAAGTATCACTCTATTTTGTACACATCAGTGATTTTGAAATGTTAGCGATACTTGCCAACTAGAATTGAGTATATGACCGTTACCTCTTCAGGTTCTAGTCATAAACGATACATTGAAGCAGGTGTACAAACTTCCAACAGGATACATGTTTAACCGTTTCTCCCAACTTTTAGTCTATAATATCTAGGCCTTGGTGATTATGGCAATATATGGCCATATATTACCCGTTCTAGACATATGATAATAAAATCTAGTATGTAACACGATGTATTATTAAACATACCAGAAGCGTTCATTGTGAATAATCCCGTCTCCAAATTCGAGTTCTTCCTTCTAACAACGTTCACACAGCTATACTTGGACAGGAATGACCCGAGTTAATTCCTCCCTCAATGGTTTGACGTCAAAGATTCGGTGATTGCACACACAGTTAAGCACTATAAACAATAGAGCAATATAATTATAGGTTCAACATTTATAAAAAGCATATGGTATCACACTTGTGGCCCAGCTTTGTAAAATACGGAATTATAAACCTTCGCGCACTTACAAAATACAGAAGGTTTCATCAGCGATGTGAAATATCAACGCCGTCACGCCAAAGCGTTAAAATGTTTTGTGTAAATAATATTAATATATTAGCCCTCTCACATCCGCATGTTTTTGAATGTACAGTGAAAAGCTCGCCTTTTCTTCAAAATTGCTATAGTTTTCTAGTCATCGCGATTTTGAAGCTGTTCTAATGTTGTAATTTGTTGTAGCAATTTCGCGTGATAGAATTTCACATTGCCAACTCGCTTTCTGATATTATATTCAGAGCTATTTAGCCGCAATTTAACATATTAAAACGGTCCCCACAGCGGTCTAGCATTTACATCCTAAAAACATAGCATTTCTGTACAAGCAATCACTTGAAAAGATACAGTACAAGTATATATACTGAGTAGCAAAATTTCATCGACATTCAATTACATTATCATCGCGTCCTCTATTACTTACACAGTTGAGAATATTATTCCACGTACGATCTTCACACAAAATAACTTAGTTGTTTGTTCACGCAGTATGCCGTATATCAGATAACTGTCTTCTAGTCACAAAGTTATATATAATCTATGGGTGTCAATACATGTTCTGTGACAACACTCACGAAAATTGAAGTCATATGTTACCAATTAACCGGTTATTTGCGACAAACAACATTGAGCAGTGTAAAGCAATACGCATCCTTATAAATTTGGTCATATAAAATGCTAATTAAGTTATTGAAGTGACTTTGTTTTACCTGTGGTTTTACGTACTTAGTAGTTCTAAACGTTTTGATTTGCTGTAAACGTATCTGACGCTACTTGAGCTAATTTTAACCAGCGCAGAAGCTCCCCGCTTCCGAAAAGGGGAGTACAAGACTTTGTTCATTTAAGGAGTTTTGAAATACGTCTTAGGACGATTTCCGGGCCAGTTCAGAGCTCACGCCATCACCAATAGAGTCTCAGAAATTAGCCGAAAGTTCGAGTATTATCTATTGATATACGATAATCATTCATGGATATGTTTATAGGCCTTGTTGTATGAAATGCATCCCTGAAATATTAGAAATAACGATTCCTAGAACGCGTCATTTTTTACAGGATGTGATGTTTTTTACTTCCAGACATTGACGTATATATAATCTATTGAGTATTGTCTTTTTCCTCACCGTATTTCTAATATTACATCCTAACTGCATAATTTTTTCCGCTTTTAAATATCGCATGTGCATGAGGGTTGTTGCGATATAGCATAATGCTTATAGTTTATGTCTCTTTCCCCCCTGTTACCGGAGTTCAGTGCCTGCAAACATCCAGCCCGATATCTTTACCGCACGTCCAAGTATTCCTGTTTCCTCCTGTAGTGACATTGGGGAAATATGAGGCCCTCTAAACCCGGTTCAAATGAGAGTATACATGAGAGTTGACAGTCACGCGATCTTGGCTAGCTGTTCTTAATGCTTTCCCAACACTATCATGTATTTTGTTTAAGTGAAAACATATTTGGAACACTCATCAAACTTTTATTTTGTCTAATCTAGAGCTTGAAATGTCCCCTGTAACAATGCGTGACTTCCCACCCTCGATTCCAATATAAATAGTAGTTTGATGCAGCCTTTCGGAACACTGGATTATTATACTGTAAAGGGATGATTCTTTTAATATTGGATTTCTGAGAGGGACATTTGAGAGCTGTGCCAAATTGTGCAACAAACATTGTTCAAATGAATCAAAAAAGTAAATAACGTCAAAGAATGGTTGATTAAATCCTATCTGACCTTCAACGTTATTGGTTTTAGACGAGACGCGGAAAAGGAAGTGATCATACCACACCTAGCTGTATATGTCAATCTTTCAGAAATAGGAAGCATTCGCCTGACATGATGGTGTACATCGGAGAGTGTGCGTGGATATTTACGTACAGGAAGGCAATTTGCGTCCCAGTTTCCCTGTGCATGTGAGCGTGTTAGTGCTGTAAGTCATGAAGTAACCTCCCTCAGGAACACCCCCACACAACGCATTCAATGTTTCCACCTTGTATAAATAGAAACACGGCTGACCTTTCATCTCTAATGAATAAATTTTTATCTATTGCAACATTCTCAAACTATTTCAAGAGCTCTGAGTCACGACATTGTTTTCGCATTGGCATATTTCCCCGCCCAGCAGGGGCACGCATGCTTTGGCTGACCTTGCAATCAGACAACAATGTAGACTGCAGACCACCTTATAATCCCTGGGTCAACTACTTTCGTCATATTGCCATTGTTACCGTTTATATTCACATAAATTAGCGAATGTTCTTGAAGTCCTTGAATAATCCCGAAGCTGAGTAACCAAACCGACCTTGTAATATTTGTGTTGCTATGGCGATAACACTTGCGTCATCATACGTACCAGAATTTCTCTGCACCGCGTGTAATGTGGGATGGGTAGTATTCTACAATAAGCTCGTGGTTTTATAGTAGATGTGGTTTGTGTTTGAACTTGTGTTCAAACGTGGTGGTCCAGTGTAGGTAGTATTCTACAATAAGCTGTCATGGTTTCTGTCTGAACTACCTGAAAAAGATATCTCAAACGTGGTGGTCCAGTGTAGGTAGTATTCTACAATAAGCTGTCGTAGTTTGTGTCTGAACTACCTGAAAAGATATCTCAAACGTAGTATTCTACAATAAGCTCAAAATAAGTTGTTGTGTCTGAATGAACATGAACGTTTTCATTTTTTTTTAGTTCTGACACAAACTACGGCAGCTTATTGTAGAATACTACTTACACTGGACCATCACGTTTGAGATATCTTCTTCAGATAGTTCAGACACAAACCACGACAGCTTATTGTAGAATACTACCTACACTGGACCACCACGTTGGAGATATCTTTTTCAGGTAGTTCAGACACAAACCATGGCAGCTTATTGTAGAATACCACCTACACTGGACCACCACGTTTGAGATATTATGGGCTGCCTGACAGAGCCACAAGCGCAGAAGCCCTTACTAGTAGCTGCAAAACACACTATCTTAGCCCGAGGATATCATGTTGTAAACAAATCTGAATGCGGAAGCCGCCAAGACTAGGTGTTATAAGTACGAGATGATATACACATCTTTTTTTCCATGCCGATATAAATGATGCCGTAAATGATGCTAATCTACTAATCAGGACATTATGAGGAAGTGAATGTTATGCACGCAATGCATTCAGCGTCGCTAAGGAACTAAGCACTAAATATTTATTTGCGGCGTTGGCGAAAACAGAAACAACGCATCATGGGAGGATCACGTACCAAAATATGTACACTTGGGAAACTGGAATAACATTCTACAACAGCTAAGCACGATTCGGCTTGTGTGGTTGCTTTAAATGTATAATTGTTACAATGTACGAGTGTATGTAATGTTTTAGCGCAGATTATGTTGTGATTGTTGTAAAGTGCATGTTTTTTGAGGACTCACACAATGCTTTAAATAGTACTTAAAGTGCGATTTATTCAAATCAAAGAAAGCTGTAAGGACACGTAGTTATGAAGCTATACGGTGGTATTGTACGCTCCAAATTAAAAACAGAGTTTCAGATTGCATAATTCCGAGCGCAAATTAAATCTGTAACCAAGAATTAATGAGAGCGCGCAGCTATTTTTGATATTGCTCAATCATGCAGATATTGGATGGGCGTAGTTGAAATGACTTGTGAAGCGTCTTGATGAGAACATTCGTATTCTTCAACAATTTAAAATAAATGAATGATATTTGGTGAGAAAATTGAACTTAAAGTTTATGTAAATCAGCATGATTTTGTATCCGAGATATACAAACACTCCTTCACGCTCATGATTTCTTTTGTGTTTAAATTTTTATTGTTCGAAATTCGAATGCTTCTGAAAATTTGCGCTGTTCGTAGGATTTCTACTTCCTCTTAAAAATCTGGCACAAAATACAAAACAATACTAACTCCGAAAATGAATATATTTTCATTTTGAAACATAGAAAATTAAAATATTCACCGTCGTTTTGTATCATGCATTGTGAAACTCATTAATAATTCATGAAGAAAACACAAAAGAAATCATGAGCGTAAAGGAGTTTGTATATCTGATACAAAATCATGTTGATTTTTATAAATTTTAAGTTCAATTTTCTCACCAAATATCATTCATTTATTTTAAATTGTTGAACAATACGAATGTTCTCATCAAGAAGTTTCACAAGCCATTTACAACATTATAAACGTTGTCTCAGCCGAGAAAATCAAAGCTAAAGTTTACGTAAATGAACACGATTTTTTATCGCATACAAAACCATCGACACGGCAGTGACTTCCCTTGTCTTTTCTCATGAATTATTGATGAGTTTTTAAAATTAATTTACTCGATCTTCCACACCATATGAAGATTTTAAAACTGATATAGCTATCCAGTATAAATAAAATTAGAGTTCAGTTGCGGTCATCATATCATCTTTACTTCCCCTCAATGTCCTTGTGTAAATCGCGCTCTATTGACGCAAACAATGCAGTGATTGTTCCTTGGATCAACATGTTGATTTTCAACAGTTGGCAAACGTTTTTAATTTCCTGTGTTGTAGTGGTAAAGTCTACATACTTTTAGATATATGCGTCTGCTTGGATCATGTCCAGTTCAAATGGAAAACCTGATAAATGGGCAGGTCATGCCAAAATATTTGAGGTTACCTCCCTGCATGTATGTGCATTGTGCCATTGATCAGTGGTCATTGAGGTCTACCCACTGTCGAGTGTTTGCCTGGGGTGTTTGCCTTGGTGTGAGCCTGAGTGAATTTCGAGATTATAGCCGAATTATTTTTGTGGTATTGGTTAAATAGTATTATAGGGAACACGTTACTACATCAGCCTCAACTGGTATTCGCGTGTTTCAAGACCACGTCGAAACTTCAGTCCGTTCACAGCACAAGATGTCAACTATTAGCCAACCATATTGCTTTGTTGCTGGTGAAGTATAGGACTGGATCAAAATTAATTCACTTCAAATTGCGCAGACCTGAAATCTGGTCCAAGTCCTCATAGTTGGACTTGAAATATTACATCAAAGCTTTGTCCAGTCTTACTTAAGACTATAAATTGCGAATATTATCAGTCGCGAGTCAAGCACTACATCAAAATTTCAGAATTATCACATGATTCGATTAAAACTTTGTCTACCCCCAAGGAATTATTCAAAACTTCAATCAGATAAAATATTTTTATAAAAAGGAACTTCTCACACACCGCTGGGAGCTGCTGCAGCGTCAGCCGCAAGCTTGACATTTATTAATTTAAACTACCATACATTACAAATGCTCGCTTAATAATTACCCTAACAGGTACATATATATCCAATCCAACGCCGTTCTGTAC